TCAAACGAGTCTTTAGGAGGCAAGGGCTAACCGAATCGTTGGCAAATGATTTTGGTGCGTCTCTCATCATCCTTTTTGCCTAGGTAAGTTTTTCCTTCCTTTGGTTCATTATTTATCTCAAATTATAACCATCTTTGTTCGCTCGAAACTTCTCCCACTTTTGACTGGTGACCTAATTTAGAAATTTTTGAGCTATATGGTGGTCTTCAGTTTGTTGTGTTTTGTAGTCTCTCTAGAGAAGTTTTTTCCAGTGAGCCTTCTCTTCGTTCACTTTTATAGGCTTGCTCTTTCAAGCTTTGGAATTTGTCATGTCCTTTAGCGCTTTGGATATCGTTGTGTTGCATGATGTTTCAAACCATAATTTTTTTTTATTTTACCTAAACTATTTATTTTCTAATTCATCCTTTAAAGCTCAAAATTAGACCTGTAAATTGGTCTGGCCTAAAAGTTCAAGGCTCAAGCACTACCCCGCCTTAAATTTTTTGGCCTCGAAAATAAATGGGTTAAGGCATCCCTAAGTCAAATATATAAGACCATCTCCAACCAAATGGTCCAGAAGGTCGAAAAACCCCTGAAAACCGTCTCCAACCGAGGGCTAGGCCAGAGGGCTCGTGGGACTCACGGAATCTAAAAAGGCCAAATGGCCAAAAGACTAGTCCAATCCAACCAGCCAACCCTGGGCTGGCCAGAAATGTGAGTATTCCTGTCAGATATAATCAACAGGAATATGTATCTTCCTGTCGATTATATCCAATAGGAATGCTAGGCCAAATTTTCAAATACAACGACTAGCAGACGTTAGCTAGCTATTATTTTTGAATTTTTTTTTTATTTACAAATTTTTTTTTTCCTATAACTTCTATTTTTTTCTATAACTTCCTATAACTTCTATTTTTACAAAATTTGTTTCATATTTTTTTTTAAATTCTATTTTCTATAACTTCCTATAACTTCTATTTTTTTTTAATTCTATTTTTTTCCTATAACTTCTATAATTTCCTCACCTTCTCGTCTCATTTGCACCCATTTTTCTTCTAATTTAGAATTGGATGAGGACCCCCAGTTGGAATCCGAAGAGGATCCAAAGTTGGAATTCATTGCAAACTTGAATTGAAATAGATTGAATTCAAAGTTGTGTGAATTATAACCCAATATCCACCTATTTATAGCAAAAAAAAAAATTCAAATCCAACGGCTAACTGACATCACTTAGCCGTTGGATTTGAATTTAAGTTGTAGGTTTTAAATAATAAATTATGTTTGACCCTTAGTTGAAGACGGTTTTTTGTGACAGGGCTAAAACGAGCCCTATGGCCCTTTGACCCTCAGTTGGAGATGGAGGCAAATATGACCCTGTACTATTCATTAAAATATTAATATCTTAGAGGACCAGAGGGCTAAAATGAGCTCTCGGTTGGAGATGGCTCGTTCTAGTGCAACTCTTTCACTCTTAAGAAAGAAGCCACTAAGACCATCTCCAACTGAAGGCTGGTCAGAGGGCTCAATTTGGCCCTCTAAGAAATTAATATTTTAACGAAATTTTTAAAAGGGTAAATATCAGTTTACTACCCTCAAGTTTCGTGGTTTTCAACATTTGGTACATAAAGTTTTTTCGTCCCAGAGTCAAACCTAAACTGTTAATTTTGGGACAGTCTCGTACATCCGTTAGTTAAACTGTTAACTGATGATGCGGCGCCTATGTGGACAATGACTAGACACCACATGTCATTAAGGGGTCCACGTGAAAACTAAAAATTAAAAAAAAATAACTATTTAAAGAAAAGTTAAAAAAAATTAAAAAAAAAAAAAAAGACAAAACCCAGATCGTCTTTCCCAAAACCCGACACCCCTCCATCCTCTCCACCCTTCACCCACCGACACCCTTCCCCCTTCCTTGATACCTACCCCTACCACCAAGCTCCCCAAAAACCCAGCCCCTCAATCCCCTCAATAAAGATTGCACGGTGCGCAAGTACACATAGAAAACATGCATGTTATTAAATCTCCTAAGCAACGAGTTCAGTAACAATGCATAAGTTTCAAGATTTGGTTTGCAATTCTCAGAATTCAACATTTTCTTATAAATATTAAAGCACGATTGAAAAACAGCTTTCTTCGACATCAAAATCGAATCATGGTATTGTAAAGGGGCACGCTAATTTCACATGCCCGACAATTACCTCTTCAACTACGGTTTCGGCGTGGGGTAACATCTGCCGTCGAGCAAGATTTTGATCATGATGAGGTAGGTGGCGTGGTTGTGCTTGTAGTTCTGCTGCTGGGCGGTTCATCAGAAAATGTCGACTGCGAGATCCAGGTCCAATTGGGCTTTCAGGGCCTAGTTCACTTTGAGCCGCCTGAACCCAGGTTTGAGCTTCTGGACCCACGTCTGAAATTGTTTTTCTAATGGGGTTCGGGTTCGGAGGGGGTTTGGAGGGGTATGGTGTTCAGTGAGTGAGAAGGACATGAGGCGGTGGTTGAGATAGAGTGATGGGTGGGAGGACAAAAATGAAGGGTGGGGATGTACATGGCGATAGGGGAGACGTGGGTGTGGATGATAGTGAACACTGGTGGAGTGGATGTCACGGTCGCAGGTGACGCAGAAGGTCAGGACTCCCTTCCCCCCCCCCCCCCCCAAACAATCTCTCTCTATCCCCCCAAACCTTCTTCTTCTTCTTCTTCTTCTTCTTCAAGTTCTTAATCCCAGCTAGTGGGGGGAGGGGGAACGGTCGATGGGGAAGATTTGTGGGTGGGTTTTTTTGGTTTTTTAGTTTAGTTTAGTTTTTTTTAATTTTTTTTAATATTTAGTTAATTATTTTTTGAAATTTTAATTTCCACGTGGACCCTTTAATGACACGTGGCGTCCAGTCATTGTCTACATAGGCACCACATCATCAGTTAATGGCAGACTTAACAGTTTGACTAACGGATGTATGAGACTGTCCCGAAATTAACACTTTACGTATGACTCTGGGACAGAAAAAAATTTCATGTACCAAATGTTGACAATCACGAAACTTAAGGGTAGTAAATTGATATTTACAAATTTTGTAAAAAAAAAAATAAAAAAAAAACTGTAAAAATTGAATAAATAAATTAAAAATAATGGCTAGCTGACGTCAGCAGCTAGCAGTTGCAATTTGAATTTCAGCCCGCTGGCTGGCTGATTTGGGCCGACCAGTTGACCCTTTGGCCAGAGGGCTAAAAATAGCCCAAAAATCGTCTCTAACTGAGGGCCAGGCGAAATGGCTCGTGAGCTCCACTGGACAAAAAATGGCCAAAGGGTCAACCGGTCGAGCTAACAAAATTTGGCCATGCACTATTCATTAAAATATTAATTTCTTGGAGGACCAGAGGGCTAAAATGAACTCTTTGGCCAGCTTTCGATTGGAGATAGCCTAAGGCCCTGGCCCAGCTCATAGGCTTAAAAATTTTGGCATTACGAGCAAACCACCTAACTGGCCCAATTTTTGGCCCTTTAGTCATTTTCATTTAATTAAAAAAAACGTAATATAGTTGAGATTTTTTTTTCCCATTAATATAGTTAAGATTGAACCTATACCTTGTACTTTCATCAATTGTCAATTACCCTTGAACTAAGGAAAACTAATGAAACTAGCCTACCAAAACTAATTTTTGATGAAAAATACTTAATCAACTTCATAGCATAGCTTCCCTTGAACTAAGGTATCTGTTAAGTTAATATAAACAATTAAATGAAATAAATAAGTATTACAAATTAATTATTTTAAAGAAAGTTCCAAAGTATTTAAATTATATTGGGCCATATCTGATCAGGCCTAGGAAAGGGTCAAGACTAAACTCGGCCTATGAGTTAGCCCATGACCTAAAATGCTAAGTCTAGCCCTGCCCATTTAAAATCAGGTCGAATAAAGATCAGATCTAAGATTGGGCGAGGCCTGCTACTTAGTGCTAAAGTTTAGTAGTATTTCTCTTCATTTGTAAGTGAAAGGTCGTAGATTCGATTCTCACCAAAGACGAATTTAAACCACATTATTGCTAACCCATTGTGAGGCTAAGTCTAACCCCTCCCCCTTAGACCATCTCCAACTCATGGGATAAAACTTAAAATATAAGCTTTAAACACGCCCCCCCCCCCCCCCAAAAAACCACCTCCAACCCTTGGGCTAAAATAAGCCTTGGAGAGGAAGTATATCTTTGGGCTAGATTCCCCCCATGATTTAAGCTTGGCCAAAATTATTCTGGACCTACCAAATTATTATATTTCAAACATTCTTTTGTTTTTTTACTTATAATCTAACGGTTATGATCAAATGAGATCAAATCTAATGGTTAAAAGAAGATTTGATGGCCCAAAATTAAATCTGACGTCTAAAATAATTTAAATCAAATTTAACTTATAACTTTATAAATACCTATGTATTTGTATAATTTTTTTTATTACTTATCGGAATTATATTTTTAGATTGAAATGTTCATAAAAATAAATTAGGATAATCTATATAAATTTAATTTTCAAAAAAGTAACCGAAAAAAAAAAGTTAGGCTAAAATCATTATTTAATAATCTCGGGCTAACATTTTAAGCCATAAAGGTTGGAGGAGAAAAACAGTTTTGTAATTATAGCTTAAAATTTTCTGGCTTAAATTTTTAAACTTTATTTTAAGAGTTGAAGATGATCTTAGTATAGAAATATTGTTTGTATAAAAAAAAAAAATTGGGCCGGTTAGATCCTAACCAAGCTAGCCCACAATGCAAAAGATAAGGTTGGGCTATGGCCTTTTTATAACTCTACTTATTATTATCGAATAAGTTTAAATTTTGAATTTATATCTATTATTAGACATATCTTGAAATTTAAACTAATTTAATAATGATAAATATAGTGATCTACGTCATTAAAATTAGAAATTAAAAACCCTACACGACATGTCGCTGTATAGAAACTGAAAACATAATTAGAAATACACGATATGTCGCTGTATAGAAATTGAAAACACGATCTCATCGAATTGTTTTGAGCCGTTAAGATCGATGCAGACTCTCTCATGCTAGGCTAGGGTTTCTGATAATTGCAATTGCTTTGGCACGCAGCAGTCGCAGCAGAAGAATATGGCATCCGCCTCTGTCGCACTCTCAGCTCTCCCAATCTCACCCTTCTCTACCTCTCAACCCCACAGAAACCGATGCGCCTTCTCTTCTCCCTCCCTTCCCTGCCACGTTCCCCACTATAACTTGACAACATTTCTCGGCGCAAGGCTTTCTATTCGAATTCCGAATGTAAAGCACATGGCTTCCAAGCATCGGACGGCCATCGCCACCGTCCTCTTCAGCCTCCCAACCGCGTAAGTCTTCTTCTTCTTCCAAGTGATGGTATTTTAATTGTACCTAGATTAAAGCCCGGCCCATCTGAGTTGTACTGTACTGATCTGATTGTTTTGCAGGAAGCCCGACAGGATTTCTACTGGGAAGAGCCCCAAGTGAGTTATATTTATTTCATTTTGATTGCATTTTTGTGCGTGCCTATATGTGTCCATGTGAATTTGAATGTGAGATATTCATTGAATTTTGGTGTTTAGATGGTCCGCCAGAGCGATAAAGTCGTTTGCTATGGCTGAATTGGAAGCAAGGAAGCTTAAATATCCCAATACAGGGACCGAAGCACTTCTCATGGGGATTTTGGTTGAGGGTTAGTCAGCTTCTTGCGAGCTAAATCTCATCTGTATTTGTGCTTTCGTGTTATTTTTTTGGGATAATTTCAGTTTACTATCCAATTTCGTAGTTTTTAATATTTGACACATCAAGTTTTTTTCATATCAGAGTCATACCTTAAGCTTTAATTTTCGGACAGTCTAATACATCTGTTAACTTAAGTTGATTATTAAGTCAGTCATTAACTAGTGACGTGACGTTTACGTAGACAATGACTGGTGCCTCGTGATTAAGGGCCCATGTGGAAATTTAAAAATTAAAAACTAAAAATTAAAAATTAAAAAAAATTAGAAAATTAATTTAAAATTAAGAGAATTGTTATTAGCACTCCAAAAATCTCATTCTACCCTCCTTATAAGGGTATTTTTTCTTTCTAATTATAGAACGTTTGGAGTGCAAAATGAAAATTTTGGAGTGTCAATAACAATTCTCAAAACTAAACCTAAACCTTAATTTTAACCATCCCCATCGCTCAGACCCCTTCTTCCTCCTCTGTCTTCGCCAACTTGGTCTACCTCCTCCGCCCGATTTGTCTCAGAGGAGTGACAGGGGCGGCCTGATCTTCGACTTGATCCTCCTCCGCCCGATTTCTCCTCCGTAATTTCCAACCTTGCTCTCAAATCTGCCGACTCACTCCCACTCGAGCTTCGACGAATCGGTCATTGCAGTCCCTAACGGCAATAGTAATCCCTCTTGTGGTGGCTCTCAGCCCTCTGATTATATCCAGATCCAGGTACACCGCTGTTCAGGTGGATTCTGTTGCAGCGAAGGGGATTGGGAGTGGGGGGTGAGTAGGAGAGGAGGTTTGGGTGGGTTGCAGAGGAGAGAAGGGAGAAGGGGGTTGGGGAATGAAGGAGGGGCGGATTGAACTCTTCCTCTGTGAGCAGGTTTCCAAGGAAGTCTGGAATCGGATTTTTATTTTTTTATTTGTATCAGAGGGGGAGATCTTGAAGAAGGGAGGAGAGGAGGAGAGGAGGAGATGGCCTTCACATTCGTCCCCAAATTTCTGGCCGCATCTCTATGTGATTTCTCTGTCTACATTGTAGAGACATACTTTTCGAGAGGGCAATGAATTCTTCCATCCACGGTTTAGTACCATTCTGTAGAACCCAATTTGATGAGCCAATTTGTATTTGGTTGAAAGCCTTGAAGTAGTTGAAGAGTTGAGACTAGGAAGTGTAAGGTTCAATTTTATTTTATTTTTTAGTTTTTTAAATTTAAAATTTTTTAAATTTAAAATTTCCACGTGAGCCTTAATGACATATGACACCCAATCATTGTCCACATGGGTGCCACGTCATCAGTTAATGACTGATTTAATAGTCAACTTAACGGATGTATGAGATTATCCAAAAATTAAGACTTGAGGTATACTTTGGGATGAAAAAAACTTCATGTACCAAATGTTGAAAACCTTGAAACTTTGAGGTAGTAAACTGAGATTAACCCTATTTCTTTTATTGTTTTTTTGTTTATGAAATGTTTAAACGCTAGTAATTGCCCTGCCTTCGTAGAAATGGATCCTTTTGTAGATTACAAACGGTTCTGTGCTAAGAGAAAGTGTGTCTGCACTTGGCATTTCGAGAAGTATGAATGGCTTTGAACTTGTCATCATGATTTTTTGATTTGATGCTGCTGCATCTTGGGTTTATGGAAAAACTATAGATGAAACAATACATTTTTTCTGTCATTTAGCCTTCCACACACCCCTCTTTGTTTCTAACCATCATATTGAATAAATTACACTGAAGCAACAAAAATGATTAAACAGATTGTGTATGAGGAGATAAAGGGTGTGTATTTTATCATTTCTCTATTTGAAAAGTTGTATTTTTGAAGTCTTTATTATGATTCTTGTTATCTTTATCAAAACCAAGAGTGGAAAGCTTGCTCATTTTTAAATAAAAAACTAATCCTATTTGATATTTTTTATCATTTCTCCTAAACATTTCTTAAGAACATTTCTTGAAAACAATTTTCTTTAAGACTCAAAAACTTGATTGGTTTGCGATTTAAAAATTTTAAATCTTACGACTTAAACTAGACAAAGAGATCTAAAAAGAGCGGGTTGCAGGAGAGGGAGAAAGAGGAGAGAGGAGGAAAGAAAGTAAGAGATGATTGAAGGAAAGAGAAAGAAGGGAGAGGATCAGACGAGATAGAGAGGACGAGGAGTGAGAGAATGAAGAGAGCGGATTGGAGGAGAGACGAAAAAGGTAAAAACAAAAAAAAAGAGGAAAGAGAACGAAGAAAAGAGAGAGATTTGGAGTGATAGGGGAGGAGGGAGAGAAAAGAAAGGAGTGAGTTTTAAGTTTAAAAACTCTAAAAACTCACCTTTTATGTTTTTAGAGAATAGACTATGTTTTTTAGTTAGTCTTGAGTTCAGTTTTTGAAAATAGTCCTACCAAACAAGTATTTAAGGCCTAAAACTTGAAAATTGTTCTTGATTTTAAAAAGTTGGGTTCAAGTAGAGTACCAAACAAGAGATTGTCTTTTCGTACCATTCTTAGTCTTATTTCCACTCTGATCTTGTAACAAATAAAATTATCTGGATGAGCTTTGGTTCACTGAATCATAAGTTGCTTACTTCAAGAATCTTACCATGCTTAAGACAAACCTGGCAGCTCCTTCAGTGGCTTCCATGTGCCTTTGCCTCTATGTCAATGCTTGTTTAATGTTTTTGTTTTTCGTGTTCATGTTATTCAGATATATTACTTTTGACTTCAGGAACAAGCCTAGCTGCAAAGTTTCTTAGAGCCAATGGAATTACACTCTTCAAGGTTCGAGATGAAACTGTAAATTTACTTGGAAAATCAGACATGTACTATTTCAGCCCTGAGCATCCTCCATTAACTGAACCAGCCCAGAGAGCCCTTGATTGGGCTTTTGATCAAAAACTAAAATCAGGTTTGTAAATTTAGGTTCAGAAAATCTAATGATGGTGATTTTGTAGTTCGAAATCTAGGATTGTCATCAGTTTCCACCATTCCCATCTAGGCATGTACGCTGTACATGCATAATTGTTTGGTTGGCTAGTGCATTTTCATCCTCACTGTTTATTGAGATTGTCTTCTCTGATGCAGGAGAAAATGGGGAAATAACAGTAACTCATCTGCTTCTTGGGATTTGGTCTGAAAAAGAGTCGGCAGGTTACAAGATCTTGGCGTCCCTAGGTTTTGATGATGATAAAGCTACAGAGCTTTCCAAATCTGTAAGTTTTAAGCTGGATTTTCTTCTTGAGTAGTTTTTGTTTAACGACTACTAATATGGCTACTGTTTCATACAGATGGATAAGGATTATGATCGCACCTTTAAATAAGGAGGCAAAAATGCTTTTTTTTTTCTTTTTCAAACAATCGCTTGCTGTCAAACATCCTCCTACACAGCCTCCAAAAGATATTGCTTCCTGGTGCTTTTATTGAGGAAGTTCCTCTGCATATGGTGTGTTTCAGGATTCACAAATGAATGTTCTTTGATATAAATTTTGTATTTGTTGTTTACGTAATTCATGGAATTCAAAAATTCCATGCAGCAATAACATGTCGCCTAGTTGACTCTTACTACCGCAGGGGTTGCAAGAAAGTAAAGAAAATTGATTCACTTGTTTCTCTTTCATTACCTTTTACCTTGCCTTGCTAAGCATTCAGCCGCTTTCCAACATCCTATCTGCTTGTTTTCACACTTCCATTGTATTATGAGATCAAGAACCATTCATTGAACTTGTACAATGATTTTCGAGGTATGGATGTTTATACTTCAATTACTTAGATCAAGAAACGTTCGTCGAACTTGTACAATGATTTTCGAGGTATGGATTTATACTTCAATTACTTTGCGGCGCCATTTATCCTTGTATTATGTGGTTTGAGATCTGTGGCAGGTGCCAAGTCGGTTGAAGAAACAGCTAATTCAAAGTGCATAAGCTTAAGAGGTTCGGATGTTTTAAGTTTAACTATCTTTGTTTAAAAATATATAAGTCCAGATTTAACGGTAAAGCATCCGGACTATTCAGTACTCCAGAGCATCTAAAAATTGCCATAGGAAGGGCAAGGCGTTGCGTTGTGTCATCATCCATGAGTCCATCCAGTGCAGCCTTAAGTTGAGACGAAACCTTATTTACACTAGTCTAAAACAAGACAATGAAATTGTCTGCCTGTGGAATTCCTCGCAAAATATCCGGCCTCGCATTTGGCATGGACTATTCTTAAGATGGGATGGACCATGCGGAGTGGGGTTTACTTTCTCTGTCACCGGGATAACTTTTACATTGTATCAATTTTGAAAAGCTAAAAGAGCAAGGCCTGTAGATTGTAGAATTAACTAATGACTCACTTTGAATATGTGATTGCAGGGAATTTATAGCAGAAGTCATTGAGGAATGTTGAGTGTCTTGATAAAACTGAGGTGTAAATCTGCAGTGGACTGGAGTTTGTTAGGTGCCTGCGGTGGATCTGGAGCTCTTCATGCACCCAGGAATGCACCTTCGTTTTAACAATACAAAATAACAGATTTTGTGCCAGTTCATGGGAACACATTATGCATGTATGATGAAGGAAGCAAAACCGTTAAATTGAATCGTCAATTATGAATGTCAAGGCGGGAAAGAGAGAAATTGCTTTTGCTAAATACCGAGTTGTGGTGTGTGTGTGTGTTTGTGTAGCTTGTGAGTTCTGACTAATTTTACAGGGTGAACCACAAAAGTAATTACTCGAGAGAACAAAGTTTCATCAGCTTTTTTGGGTCTTGCACACGTTTTTGTTTTTGGCTATCAAATTAAATAAATTATGAAAGTTTTCTTAGCATTTCTCTTTTACGAAAACAATGAAGAAAATTAAACAAGTGAGTGAAGGCATGGATTAGCTACTAGCCTACTACGTCTCTTGTCGTGTCATAGAGAGGCGTAAATTATATTATGCACGTGCTTCTTGCTTTCTTGCATTACCAAAGTCAGACATAATGGATGTGCATGCAAACGATTCATTCAGACACTTATATTTTTTTTTATTCACACGACACACCTGAATTAGGATTAGGATTAGTTGGGTGACGTGGATGATGATGACTGATGAGTGCCTGCTTCTTCATGCAGTGATGGCTTAGCAGCTAGGTTCCGGGAAATTAAGGAAAGCAGGTAATTAATTGACCGTGGACACATGAAGCTAAGCTAACCTCCTAGCTGGTTTACTTTTCAAGGTCAACATAATGAACACGTAAGGTAAGCACAAGTTCTAGATTGTGAAGGCAAGTCAAGGAGGTTGGCTTGCTTGCCTTCCAATCCCATTCCAATGATCCCATGCCATGTTATCCGTGTTCCATTGCCCCCTCCATCTCTCCTTCCCTCCCGCCCTCCATAATCCCATCTATATATACATATATGAATACTTGTTTGGATACTATAGTTTTGAATCCAATTCATTCATTCATTCATTCCAGTCGTCCACTTCCACCCAATTAAAGTTTAGTTTAATTTAGAGAAATATGGTGCTGATGATGATAGAAAGCAGCTTCGCAGATGTGCAGCATGTGCTGGTGAAGGTTGGCGTGTTCTTCCTGGTTCAGGCCTTGGTATATCTCATCCTTTCCAACTCATCCAACATCTTCTCCAAAACCACCAAGAGGTCCCACAGCTTCAAACCAGCTCGCTCTGTCAGTATTCGCCGGATGCTCGCTGCTCTTTCTGACTTACCTGCTGGCGGCGAGCTCTCTCCTTCAACAAACTCAACGGACACGAACACAATGATGATGCAGTCCCCTAACAGCAAAAGTAGTAGCCAAGAATACTCAACCACTCGATTCTCCTAATTAAATTAAGCACATATTCGTATGTGACATATACATCATTAATATATGTGTGTATGCTCGCTCGAGTTTGAGAGATTATTATTCATTTGTTCTTGATTTAATGTCTTGTAATAAGTAACATTGGGTATATATTGGCATTAGAATTTTGTTACATTATTTCTGTCAGGCTCATGAGTTTTAGTTTGAAATATTAATTTGTGTGAAATTGGATGCCTCTGTGTAATGAAATCGTACATACCAGTACTTGAATCTAATTTTAGATCTTATTACAAGCTATGCAAAAGAAAAGGAGAAAGAAAATTGTCATGATCGGTAATATTTTGTATAAATTAGGTTTGGCATATTGTTCAGTGAGTTTTATCCCCAAATTGTTAAGATTGATGAAGCCACAATACTCATCAACTCCTAGTTCTAATGAGCTGCAGCTGCGCATGCCGCACAAAGATTCACATAAAATTTCTCAGAGTATGACATCGAAGCCAAACTCCGCATAATCCACGTACTTGCACCAGAAATCTTTAAGACAGAAGCTGCCAACTTTCCAGAACTGGGGCAAATTCTCACTGGAAAACCTGCACCGCCGCCGGAATCAATAAGTATTGCTGGTAAGAAAAAAACAATAAGGAGGAGCATGTTAATCTTAAGGTGTTCATATGGTTAAACCCACAGTACTAACCTCGAACGTTGAGTTTCAAAAACATCTTCTTGTTGAATCCTTCCACGCGAGCAAGCAAAAATTCTTCTATTGGTTTCTACACATTAGGTTACTATACCTAATGAAGAGTGTTATGTGCCGTGTTTAAAATATCAGTATCGTTGTAAATATGATATGCAAATTTGTGAAAATATCGACATCAATGTCGGTTGTTTTCGAGAGAAATGATGGAAATTTAAAATGAAACATTAGAGAATGTCAAACACTGGTGACATATAAGAGTTTCTCCGATATTTAATCGATATGTTAGAAATCTCAACGAAATTGTCAATTTTTCCAATATGAGGTGAAGTTTAGTCTTCACCCCCCATTTTCGTATCTTTCTCTCAATTTTTTGATATTTCCACATATCAACCGTATCAAAGAAATTTCAAACACTGACTATGTGTAATGCGTATAGCACCAACAAGAACCCTTACTTATATAGAGTATATAATCCTAATAGAATACACCCATCATATGCCCGTTAGAAATCCTTGTGCATCTATACTTCCCTAAATTAAGTCCAAATAGAATAGGAACCCTTTTGCCCGTTACTCATATTCACTAAACTATATTGGGTACAAGATATGCCAAGTTAATAACTTAATACTCCAAATCCCAATTGGATTTCCAAGCAATCTGTAAGTGACTAGGAGACCACATTAATTAGGCATCATTGGGATTTCTCCCAATAGGTGCGGCTTTAGGAAATAAAAATATATTCCAACAGAGTACTTGTTCTACTTGTTCATTACCAACTCCAAACAAGAAAATGTTGGGATTGGAAAATGATGGCAGAGATGACAGGGTAGAGTAGTAATGGAGGAAATGCAAGACTACATGTGGAGATCATCATAGTTGCCGTCAGGTGACCTGCAGAGCGACAAAGATTTGTTGGATACTTTCTCAGATGTGGATGGCTTCATTGAAGAGCTAAGGTACTGGATTTCCTTCACTTCATCCATCGTCATCTACCTTAGTGATGAGCATACCTATCCACATGGACATCAAGACTTAAAACAAAATTTAAGTTAAAGACATTTAACCACAGTAGTGATAAATAAAATTTTAAAATGTCTTTAAAGCTTATGGTCCCTCCTTAGCGAGAATACGAATATCCATTAGGCTTCTATTGAAAGCTTCCTCTCGAGTATTCGGATCAAATCAGAACGAAGAGCCTGCAACTGGAGGGTTTCGAGTGGCAAAACCTCCAAAGTCTAAAACCCTAGTGAGAGAGAGAAGCGGGTGTTTTGGGTTTATTTCTTTCCTCTTGGTGGAGTTCGCAGATCACCCCTTTGCTGGTGTGGAGGAAAGTTCAAAATTTGTGCAGTCCACATGTTCGACGAAATGACAGCTCAAGATTTTTGTGAAGGTTATGTTTCCAATAATTTTCTCTGAATTCTTTGGAGAATTGGAACGATTTCTTACTGCAATTACTTCTGGGATGTGACAATCATTTGCTTTCATCCAAATTAAGGCATGAATTCATCTCACTTTCGATGATCTTTTCTGAGTTTCATGTTGTTTTTTTTTTTCTAATATTGGGGTTCAGTATTGTCAGAACAAGTATTTTGTTGATGGTTTCTAGAAAATTGAGTGCATCAGTAACCACATGGAAAACAATCTTCTCTGGTTTCAAGGCAGTGGAAACAGTGGAGTTCACAACCACTGTACAGCCTGAACATTGTCGGAGAAAACAGGATAATGATAGAGCTTTGGATCATGTAATTTTTTTTTCTGGTTACGAAACTGCCTCTCCTTGGAATCCAGAGTAAAATATTCTGCAGTCAGCTGCATAGAAAGACAGTGTAGGCCCTTTGGGGTTGTGCTTGCAGCAAGGTTGAACAGAGAAGAGACTTGCTTCTTCTGCAACAGAACTTGCTCTTCAGCATTTTGAGTCATAGCACGGAGCTTTGTGGACATGGGAGAGCAATCTGGGTATGTACGGCTGGTTTTAGATAGTGAAGACTCCATGTCTCTCATTCTCTGCAAGGCACTCCTTGATAAATCTGAATACTTAGTTATTTCAACTCCTTCACTAAACTTGAATTACTGCCTGGTGGTGCAAAACTCAAACATGGTTAATATTTCTCTCTGCTGAAGTTGCTCATGGTCCTTGATAATGCAGCTGTTGGTATCATAATTTGTTCCAAATGGGACTTAGTTTCAAGATGTAAGTCCTTGAATTTCTGCTGTCTCGTCATTGGATTTAAATTGTTCTGAAGCTTATATCAGCCTATAATTTCAGAGTCTAACCAGCTTAGTTGTAGTATGTATCTACTAGAAGTCCGGTTGTGTGTTTCTTGAAGAGATGAAGTTTGAACAAGTTGTTGACGGTAAATCCCATGAAGGGTAATCCTGTTTTATGAGTAGGTCAATCCCATGAAGGGTAATCCTACATAGATGTTGATTTTTTGTTGTTGAAATTGTGAAGGCCGATGCCATTGTTCAAAGAAGATTGTTTTTGGTAAAATCCACAAAGGGCAATCCCGTGGTGCTATAGTTAAGGCTGATGCCATACTATAGTTTGTTAATTTTCTGTTTTTTGTAAATATTAAAGGCCGAAGCCAAGTTGAATGAGATTGTTGACGGTAAATCCCACAAAGGGTAAACCCGTAAGAAGTTGTTATACCGACATGAGGGTGTGCTACGACTCGTTTATACAAGGCTGTTCTTTGATTGAAACTCATGTGAGAGGCAGAGGAATATTGGATTTTTTGGATGGAAAGATTGTATCTACAAAGGTTGTAATTTGGATGGAGGTAGCAGCAAGCCAATGGTTAAGGAAGTGCCTTCTGAAGAAGCCAATGTGTCTCAGATTGAGATCAAGACTACTGAAAACCAGGGTTCAGATGAAAAATCATCCCCTGCTGACGTTATGATGCCTCAGGTAGCTAAAAGCTTGGTTGGCTCTCCTGAAGGACATGAGACTTATGATAATTACGAGTCGTTACAGGTGAACTTTCCAGAAAGTGATACAAATGTCACATCTGATGCAAATTCCTTTAGCAGTACTGGAATAAATCAAACAACACACTCTGTTGGTCTGGATGATGCGGATTATAGCAGCAAAAGACCCGTAGAAGGAAATATTATTGATGATGGTGATCATGAGACTGAAAAGTATGCTATAACTGGGGATGAGTACATTGAAGTATCTATGGAGAAAATTGTTGCTCAGAACCCTATTACTAGTTTGGAAAATACCAGTTGTCTCTCCGAACACATATACATAATGGCGACGACTCTGGTGATCACGATAAGGGTGAAACTGAAAAGAGTGTTATATCTGGAAATTAAAGCAGGGGAGGATCTATTGAGGAAAATCTTTTAGCAAAGCCAAAACTGAACATGGACAGCAGTTCAAATTCTGGCAGCGCTGACCTCAATGTAGTTTTAGATAGAAAGAAAAGTGTGATGGAAAGTGAGATTGATTGCAATGACAAGGTTCAGCTAGAAGTTGGGGGCAGTACAGCTTTGTAGAACTATTCAAAAGGGAAAAATGATGAAAAGGATTTCCAGGAGAAGATTGCAGAGTAGTACAATATTGAAAGGTTAACTACCCACAACCAGATTGAAAGAAGGCAATTAAAGGGTAGCTTGCAAGGTTTTCTGTCATATTGTTCTTGACATGGAATGAATCTGAGGTGGATGAAGTGGGATTGCAAGATTGCAGATGGTTCAACTCTGTGTTCTGTTTTCTGGTTTCATAGCAGTGATTGCAGATGTTCTTCCAATCTCAAACTGGGTTTCCCCAGTTGAGATTGAGGGGGAGTATTAAGGGTATAAGTCTGCAGTACAGTTAGAAATATAGTTAGCAAGTTTGTTAGTATTTGGTTAGAGTTGTTAGACTTACTAGTATAAAAACAAAGTGTGTAATCTTCATTCTTTCAGTCAATACAAAGGCATATTTCTTTCTCTTTACTCTCTCTCTAAAACTCTCTGTGTTCATCCTTCTGTGATCATCTTTCTTCTTGATTTTCCCTTCAATTCCCAAACATTGCAATGTAGTTAACATGGACCTCTGTTAAATTTGATTTTCCTAAGCATTTTCTTTTGTTTAAGGTCAAATCTATTTATGAGTCATATTTATTATGGTCATGCATAGAAAAATGTTGTAATTATTTCCCTTTCTCTCAAAATTAGTAGATTTGAAGTTGGTACATGGATATATACAACATAGAAAATGAACATTTACTCTTAACAAAATCACATAGAATTCACATGCTTTGGTATGGTTCAAAATGATATCATGTGAAGAAGTTTCATCATTACTTTGATATCATGACTTTCAATGTAGTTAAGAGTTTATGTGCAGTTGCATTTTTCTCTATGCGCTGCAGTATAAATTCATTGGTCATTAGCGGAGCTACATGGTGTGGGATGCAGATAAATGAACTGCAAATGGTTACACCTTGCAGCCTGAGATATTTCATCACGTATGGCGGATGATGTTTTTCTAATTCTTAGAGCTTCTTTTGCATGCTTCTATACTGGTAGGACTATTGTTTCTTCATCTCTAGGTGATCCAATCTGTACCAGATTTTTTGAGGATTCCATAAGGGAAACTTTATTGCGTATATGTTCATGATTCATATTTCATATCATCTGACAAATGATTTTAGCAGTAGTTGTACTCATTATGCTTGGTGTCCAAGTTTAGACTCCCCCTTTTCTTTTATTTTGCTCTTCCTTTCTTTCATTCCCTTTGCTTCTGAGGGGAGCAAACTAACCTTTTGTTTTTGGTTTTGTGGGGAAATAGATATGAGGGTTGGAAAATGAATCTATTAGCATTTCCAACAAAAAAAAAAAAAAAAAAAAATTTATACTTTTTCAGTGAGCCTACAATTGCTTTTATTTTGTAATTTTTGGGGGTTTTGTATGTGTGCTTGGATGCTGTGTGTGACTGGCTGATTTCAGTCTTTTTTTCTTTCAGGAAACTCTGGTGTTCGAATTTTGGGGCATAAATCCACCAAACAGATAATCATTTTCCAGAGCTGACCGTAAGAGAAACATTGGATTTTACAGCTAGATGTCAAGATGCAAGTGAAGCCTATGCAGGTGTGTTCCTTTTAATTGCAATTTTGTTACATTCAATGCGCAGATATTCTTAATTCCAACAATTGATTTCATGTACTCAATCGATCACTGCTAATATCCTTTCCCTGTTTTTGTCAATCGTTTTATGCTGTAGCATTCATGAATGATTTGGTACGGTTAGAGAGGGAAAGGAACATAAGGCCGGATCCAGAAATTGATGCATTTATGAAGGTTTGTTATTATAAATTAATTTTGACACAAGAAAAAAGAGAGAATTGAATTTTGCATTTTGTAATTGATTTAGTTTAACTAAAGTTTTTATTTTATTTTGGTCCTTTTCATTGCAGAGTTTGCAAAAAAGAAAGAATTGAATTTTGGATTTTGCACTTGTTTTAGTTTAACTAAAGTTTTTATTTTATTTTGGTCCTTTTCATTGCAGAGTTTGCAATTGGGGTGTGTATACGCGTGTTCTTTATGCTGTCCCTGAAACATGTGATCATGTTTACCTTTTTGATAATGACCATGATGATGCAAAAGATATCTACAGGAAATCCATGCGTTACAGATTCCCATATGATCAGAGTGGTCGACTTATCTTGGAGGTAATGCTAATCTCTCTAATTCCACTAACCACCAGTCTCATCTCTCTAATTCCAGCATGTTTTTATAGTGTTGCCCTTGATCACATATGATGGTTGCTCTCCATTGTTGGAAGTCTTTAACTTCTTTTTCATTTTGCTTGATAGCCATTTATACCCCGGAAAGCAATAAATATGCCGTGTTGCAAACAAGCACATAAAAAAACATAACTTTGATTTGGTGGTTTTTATAAGGTCAGGATGTTTTCTATATTGAAGATTGATTTTTCTGTCTTAACCATTTGCTAGATAGGAAAATTGCCTGAGATAGTTCCTGCTTAAATCATGCTCTCTCTCTCTCTCTCTCTCTCTCTCTCTCTCAATCTAAAATAGAGACATGATTCAAAATTAACATCACAAATATTGTTGATGCCACATCTTTTGTTGAGAAGTCATGAAACAAAAGACATGTTGCTAAGATACTGAAAGATTGAACAAAGTTATTTCTATATGATTATATCAGTATTAAGATTACCCACTAGCCAATATTTGACACATTCAATGCTTGGATAAATAGTAGAAGACACGTTCATGAGGCAGCACAGAGGAAAATCCTTCCCGCTTCTTCCATGCTCTGGGTTCGCAACCTCTGCTGCTTCCAGCTCCAAACTCGGATCCGAAGGCCTCATGGGTATATTTGCTCACACTTCTCTCTCTTGTTTCCCTGCTAATCATTTTTCATTTTTGTGTCGAATTTTAAATTTTGAAATCAGGGTAGATTACAACCATATGTTACACATTTGGGATTTTGAGTACATATAGTATTTCTAAGTTTTCCCTCTTTGTTTTAGAGATAATCAAATGTTATTAAGCTGTTTTCGTAGTGATTAGAACTTCCTTGTGATAGCGAGATAAGCTAATCGAAACAGCACAAATATGAAGGAAAACAGGTTCTGCTTTCTTAAGGTTTCAAATTTTTTCAAGTTTGGAGGCTTATGTCAATCTCTAACAATTGCTTGAATTGTTGTATATAAGTATGCATTATACATTCAATTGAGCCAATGAAGCATGTGTGCCAACGAATTTTGAAGAGTTCGGCTTGGTTTTCTCTCTTTGGTCTTTAATATTTTAAGTGTGAGGCACCTGTTTGTTGACTAATTGAGTCCCTTCTCTAAGTTTTTAGTAGATATTGTGTAATTTGCTTTTATGAGCACTTCTTTAAGCTGTCAAGTTCCCAAAATGTACAAGGAGATATCAAGTTTAACAAGTCACGAACTGTGATCAATCCAAATGCAGTGAAATTATGGATTTTACACTTAAAAACTCAGTTAGCTTTAGACCATAAGTTTAGCATTTTGCACATGTGAGTACCATTGACCTGCTCATTTTATTTTTCTGGATAAGAAACAAACTGTCATTGAAGGGAGAAGAAAGTGTACAAAAACAAAGTTTATGTAAGCTTGCAGCCTTGCACTCATATGCCTAATATTTTATTTTCTTTTCTTGGCAGGTATCTTCTCTGATATTAGAGGCTGTTACTTAGTGCTCTACGCTGAATGACCTATTTTTGAGAAAGGAATGGATTACTTTCAGGCATTTTCCATATACAATTGGATCATGATAATATTTTGATGCATTTCAATTTATTCCACATGTGAATAGTTTTGAATTCAAAGTTTAGTTGGTGGACTGCTCCCACTCATGTCTGTCTGCTAAAATTAAGAATGGAAATATCACTGATAAACCTTGGAGCCTCAGGGTCACTCTTTCTCTCCTCGCTCACTCTTCCTCTTTCTCTTCTCTGCGTTCTTCCTCTGCTCTCCTCTCTCTTCGCTCCCCATATCTCTCTGTTTGGTATGATTATGTCTCTTAACAAGCATTAATAAACAGAACGATTTCGATCAATAATTTTATTCGGTCATGATTCAAACTCCCATTGTAGATCAAACTATAAGTCAAGCTACCCATTGCAGAGCAAACTATGAGTCAAACCCCCATTTCAGGACAAACTGGGAAGGAGGAGGCGCAATAGGGCATGGCTATTTCCGGGGCATCGGTCGTTTTGAGATTCTGGTAACATTTATATAAGCTAGCTTATTTTTAGACCATTGTTTAGGTGTACATAATTGTTTAATGGCTTTGTACCTTTCCATTTTGTCAGCTATAGATGTTCTAAAAGATACACATACCCCTCCACGGAGAATCAAGTTCATTAGTTTACATTATGTATCATTTTTGTAATGTAAGAAACCACCACCATCTAAAAGTTTTAGTGAAGTTGTATTTTAAAGTCAGGTTGGTAGGACAAGTTGCTATATATATGTTTAAAAAGTTTTCAACTTCGAATTTTGTGATGTGTGATTGCAGAGCAAGGAGAAAGTGACCCCGATTAGCTCCAAGCTTGCAGTAAACTTTTCTTTTTGTTCAAGGTTATGAGAATTCTTACAAAAAGAACTAGAACAACTCAGATTTTAATTTCGGTTTAAGGCTGTTTTTAATTTGGTCCGCCATGTTATGTTTGTTAATAGGAACCCAGAAGAGTCTTGAATTCAGTTTCCAAACTCGGACTGAAAATGGAACTTGGTGCTATTAAGCTATCATCCTCAGCCCTCAGAATTCAGGTAGCCCCATGACTATTACATTGCTGTTTTGTTTTATGTACTAATTATTGTTCTATGAATTGTATTCTTCAGTTAATAATAATTCATCCTCCTTTCCCATCTCCTTGGTTTTTTCGTTTAGATTTTTCTGTTTGCGTATTATAATTTTTTTAGGGTTTTGGTTACTGTGCACTTATCAGGTAAGTCAATTCTCATGTGATTTGTACATCCACATTCCTTACAATTTCCATCTCAGTATGTGCAATCTTTTGCTTATCAATTCAATTCTCATCTTGAAGCTCTTCCTTCCAATTATGCAATCTTTTGCCCTCTCTGCATCTCAGACTCTCAGTATACGTGTACAATGGAACCATTCTTCACTGCATGTATTAATAATTTGTAATACATGAACATATTATAGTAACTAAGTTTAATCCCTGATTTTATTATTTAACTGGGATGTAGATTTCATAATTGAAATTATGTTAAATGTGAAATGTTAGTGATTACACTTCACTCAATTATATCAATCCTCTTCAATATGTAGATGTAAGTCCGTTATTAGTGCCATTAAGGGTTGATTAATCCTCATATGCGTAGCAATAATTATTAGTTCCATGTAGTGTTAGTACTTACATAAATGCATTTTTAAATGAATGTTAGTATGTTCTTAGGTATGTTAACAACACTACTCTCCAGTTTAGCCAGGTACCTACTTTGGTTTTTTCGTTCCCTGATCATATGCTTTGCACAATTAGGTATTTAAATTTTCCAGAATATATGTATGTATTCGTAACCATGAGCTAAATACTAACGGGTGAATAATGAATGTTTTGCCGAGTAGCATGTTATTACCAATCTTGATATATGAGAGAATTCGTATGAATTTTGCACTGGTGGTTGAAGAAAAATCAACAAGCTAAATTACTCATTTAACCATTTACATGCATTTTGATCACAGATATTGAGAAACCTTAGAGTTAATCATCTGTAACAATAAATGTTAATTATTCAAGCTTGATTTATTGGCAATGGCTTCTTTCGTTAACCTCTACAACTACGTCTTTCTTCACTTTCCCGCTTCCTCCGGTCTCTCTTTCTCTTTCTAATCTCTACTGAGTTTCTTTCAATCTGCCAATTTATATAATTTATTCTTTGATGTGACATTTGGTGCGTTTGATTTGGTTTTGTGAATGTCTTCTTGACTTTTTCGCTTTGGATTCAAATAATAAGTTCAAAGGTTGTATACGTAACAGAATACTGATTTGCGAACAAGGCAATTCTAAGCTTGAAAATTTGTATATTATGCTGAGCTGACTACCTTTTCCCCGCTTTTTTGACTTTGAGCAATTGCAGTATTTTAGCCCAACTTGCTAAAATTTTTGTTTATTTTTAAACGAATTATGTATGAATTTACTTGGAAATGTTATATGAATTTGGTGTAAACTTGAATGGAACCTATATCTGCAGGTTGAATGTGTTCTTTGCCAACTATTTTTTGGTATAAGAACAAAATTACATTATATACACACAATGCAATATGTTACCTATCTGTTTATATACATGTTATAGTAATACATATAATGTTACATGTTAAACAAAGCAATAGATGCCAAGCCAAAAGTGAGAATAGGAACAAAGAATCCATTCCAAAATCTCGCATTTGTTCTGAGCGGTCTTGATGGAACATGGAATCCATATCACCAAGTGTACTAATTCAAGGTTGATTGTTCAAATTCTTAAATTAAAATTAATTTTGTCTTGACTCTAGTTTCTTCATGCCTTTCTTAACTTAACATACATAGATATTGATAAAGAGCTTCAGGAGGGTCATTACTAAACATCTACAAATTTGTTAAGCCTCAGGCTTCCAGTTATCAAACTATAGGTAACTACGGATTAGTAGATGTTTAGTAATGACCCTTTTGAAATGATGGATTGTCGATATTATTGATCAATTGAGTATGCATGAGAACTTTAAGTAATCGTTGCCATAAAAAGTAGAAGTGATGACTCACATCAGGAATCAGTTATCTCATCAGCAGCTTTATTTTTATCTAAGATCGAATTTGATATATGTAGGTGTATATAGGTTAAATCGATTGTTAAGATGGCAATTTAATCACTTTTCAACATCTAATATCTCCATCTCCCTGTTCTGGATTTTTACTTACTTGAAATGGATAGATTCTAGGCGTTTCATTCAGCAAAATGAGCAGTGGATAGTGCTAACTCATTTTTCTTACATTTACAGCAATATAGGCACTTTTCTTGGCAACATAGTGCTTAGCTTAAAATTAGAATGTGATTCAGTTGTATTGAATTTGTTCCATTAACCACTGGTCCATTTATAGTTCATTTAATCTTTTGAATTAGTAAGCTACTGTGTTGTCTCCTTTACATTTTTAGGTATGCTATTGATATGGAAAACATCATTTGTTTGTTCTATTTATCGCATGTCATAAGAATCACAGTGGACTTGGCATCCTTTTTGTGGCCTTTTTTGTGTTGGCAAATGCCATCAGATAGGCAAAATCATATCGGCTACAAAGTGCAATGAATGCTACAGGTTACTAAGTTTCGCCATATGCTTTCATTGTGGCATTGCCCGCACTGCGACAAGTAAGCATTATAATTTCACTTTGTGGAATTATATTAAGTTGACTTATGGAATAATATAGGGTTGTGTCATGCATGAAAACTATGAATCCATTTCATCATGCATTTTTTATTTTACGTGCTACACTGTCACTTGATTTGATTATAAAAATGTAAAACAAAAGCCGTCCATGATTTACAAATTTGTATTCAATTTTTGATGTTTTTCCAGTGTAAGGCATATGTTGCACAAGTGAGGTATGTAAATTGCAGGGCATATAGGGGCAAAATGTGTAAACTACAGCTTGCTTCTTTTTCTTCAGTTTCATATGGAAACAGACCTTTTGCTTATTTTTGCCTTTAAACAATTATGGTTACAAAATTAACTACTGAACAAGTCCTCAACACTTTATATTTTTAATTACCTGTTGAAATGGCTGCCTACACTGCTGGACATATATTATATGTGTGAACTAAATGTTTCTTCTATTTCTTAAGGAAACAGAACTTTTTTGGAAATCATCTATTTCTAATCAAAGACGTTCAATTTCTTCCCACTCATTGTACGATGTGTTTTTATGCCAACTCACTTGAATGTATATAAAAGCAAAATTGTTTATCTTATTGACCTCATTAACTCATGTATCCCTTTGTTTGTTCATAATTGTGTTGAATTTATTCAACTTAAATATGTTTTATTCATCCGATTATGCCTGAAACAGCTAGTTCCCACGACAATGCGCATGCATTTTTTCTAGTCTTATCTAACTAAAATACATGAGGGAGATGCAAACTCAAATATATACGAAGAGGGCAGTGATCAATGTAACTAGGTCCACGTCTGCGTAGTTCTGAGTTAGATTAATCTCGAGTTCGTACTGTATTGTAGCAAGAGAATTAAAAACCAATTAAAAGAAAAAAGTGGAAAGGAAAGGTGGAGAGTCCACAATAATTGGCATCTAATGCTTATGGGGATTCGCACTGTTGCTGAATTCCAAGATCAGCAACTAGAAATTAATTTATTCAACTTTACAATAAAAATAAAAAATAAAAATAAACATTAAAATTAAAGAAAAACTAATAAAAATAACTTGAAAACTTTGAGTTTTAACGATAAGGATAAAATAAAGAGTAAAGTGAATAGTATTATGATTAACCTTTTAGTATAAAAATATAATTTTTTGTTAAAGTAAACAATACCGAAAACATTTCATTAAAGTTTCTTAAAATTAAAGCCTTCAACTTTTTGTTGCCCCTGTTCTTAGCTTCCACATTGGCCTAGCGCCAGGCCTCTGAGCTATCTCTTTGTCTGTCTTCCTAAATAAAGAGAAAACAAACGAACGAACCAGAAAATTAAATTAAATATCCCAAAAAAGCTTTTCGAAAAATGAAAATAAAAAAGGGAAAGTGGCAGAGCATCAGAGAGAGAGAGAGAGAGAGATATCACTGCCAGTGAAAAACTAAATGCACTCTTAAATATATCTGCAATTCTATTTGTCATTTCGTTATGCAAAATAACTTTTAGAAATTTGTTATGTAAAATGTTACTAGACACTGGACGTGCCTTAATCAAATTAGATTTTGTACTGAATTTGAGCATTCATCTATATCTACATGGAGAATGCAAAAAAGAGTGAAGCTTTCATAATACTCAAATTATCTTTCTATCATTATGATTTTAAAAAATCGTAAAAATACAACATAATATGATAGTAAGTGTTTTGTTCTAGTCTTAACAAAAAAATGAGTTTTCTAATAATTATTTTAAATCTTTGGATCTAAACTAATATAATCTTGTGACTAATATGCATTTGGTCATCACATGTCCTCAAAATGAGAACCTTAGGAGAGCAAGACTAATTATTATTTTTTGAAATATATTTTGTTAAGTTATTTAGTACTACGGTCTAATGATATTCATCTTCACTTGTAAGTAAGAGGTATCAGATTCAATTCTTGCTAAAAGTGAATTTGAATCACGTTGTTGCTAATCAATTGTGAAGCTTAGCTCACTTCTCTACATTCTTAATATAGATAATATCGTTTGTTTAGAAGAAAAAAATATTTTAATTAATAAAACAATAAAAAAAGAGCAAATGGTGGCTGATGGTCTTGAACGGTCTCAAATCGACAGCAGAAGGCATCAGATACCCAACTGGTGGAGTGGTGATGTCCGAAGCTAGCTAAGCATTCGAAAATGAAAACTAATATGCGCTGGCGGCCCCCCAACGTGTCTACAAGTAAAATGCTCCACCTCTTTTCTATTAGTTCTCTTAAATATTGGATTTTTTTAATACAACAATATATCAATATTAGGTTGAGCATATTTTCGCTAAGTCACGTAATGAATATTAATTTAATTTAATGTAACATTTGTCAACCACAACAGTGTCTCAGTGGTAAGGGTGTATATTCTAGCTCCTAAAATACAAAAAATCGGGAGGTTTGAGGTTCCAAATTGGTGAGTCTGCTTGACTATAGCCAGGGCAGGCTGAAATGCTTCTGTGAGTCTTTTTGTGAAATCCCGTTCTTGGATTTCACTATTATGATATACATATTTGAATTATTGAGATTTTGTTTTATTGTTCGAGAATTTTTTTTTAATTTGTTTGAATTTAGATTTTTATTAAAGTAGTTACGAGGCTTGAAGTTTGGAAATTAATTATTCAAAATTCGTAGACCATTCGAGGTCACAATTTATATTTTCGAATAGAGCTCGATCTCACGAACGCGTAGGCACAAACATTCATGAAATGGAGTTATAACGAAAGAGTTATTAACGTTTAAAGTTAGGGATATTTTAGTAAATTTGGCCCTCATTAGAAGGCTCCAGATTTTCTGGAATGATCAGATTATGACACGTGGATGGTTGAGATGAAAAGAAAAGAAGAGAAAGGAGAGAAAGGATGGGGGAGGAGGACCAATTAGAAGGAGGGAAAGGAGGGGAAAGGAGAGAGGAAAGGAAAAGGGGAATGGGCTCACCCGTCGACTCGTGTACCCAGTTTGATTCCGACCAATTTCCACCACTTTTCAGTCTAAATTCACCCTTCCACCACCTACAACCTATTCCACAACCCCATATCTACCATCTTAGCTCAAATTTGAGGGCTTTTGGGTTCAATTTCATGAAAGAAGAAGCACTGGTGCCGACGACATCATTGACGGTGATCCGTCATTTTTGAATGCAATCCCCTCGATCTCTACCACCATTAGACCCTCCTTGAACCCAAGAATAAAGCCCAAACAACCTTGGAGGCGGAACATTGGAGATGACGAATTGAAGCTCACCCATTCTAGGGTTTCCGGCGGGTTTGAGTGAAATTGGGGCCTTTCCCGGCCAAATTGGCATTGGACACAGGTATGAAACTTGCTCTACTCATTGAGATAGAGATATATATTTCTGTAAAATTTGGTGATTTTTGAAAATAGTTGAATTTTTCGGCAAGTCGGGGCACCCGACCGCGGTGGGCCAACGATGTATTTCTAAGTTCAATTAGATGCTTCGATTTCATAATTGATATCCGTATGACGTGGTTTGATTGTTTGAACTTAATTTCATTACAATACATCACTTGACCAAAATATGAATTGACGATCTGATCGTTGAATCGTTAGTAAACTTTAATACAATATAGTACATAATATTTGAAGACCATCGGAACTTACAGATCTGGAATCCGACGTATGGATCTTCCCGAATTGGATTTCTAAGTTTGTAAAATCAAACGTTAACCGCCACTTGAATTCGTGATTAGCGGAGATCCGACCATTGGATTGTGATGAGATTTTAGCATGTTGATCTAGAAGCATAATGTGGACTTTAGAAAGTTACGAATTAGACTTTTGATAGGCGGATCTTCAGTTTAGATTTCTAGGGTTGTGGACCCTACTCTCGACCTTGATTGCCTGTTGGCTTTTTAGTCAACTAGCCCGAGTTCTTCTAGCGTGTCGGTTATCTTAGAGTGCAGATGAGATTTCATGGAGTTTGATGGACTCATTGTGATGACGTGTGATTCGATTTGCGTACTAGTGGCATCATATTCTATTATACTTGTTATCAAGTATGTTTTGATTTGTGCATTGAAAACGTTTGTGGAATATGGTTTGATTTGTATGATGAGTATGATGTGATGAAATGTGATTTGAAGTGCTTGTTGAATTGTTTGATGAAATGTGATTTGATGTGCATATTTGAAATGTGGTTGATTTGCATAATTGATATGATGTGATGAAATGTGAAGGCTAGCAGTGGACCGTTAACCCATTGTCATGGGGTTTGTTGCTTCAAGACTTATTTCACATATCATATCATTATATAATTTCTCGTTTCGTTGAGCTGTTCTAATTGTGTACCTTGCGTTTGTTCCATTTTTTGTTTCGTTGAGCTTTTGTATTTTGAGTACTTGTTTCAAGTCTTCTTCTTCAAGCGTTGCTATATTCCTTGGTCCTCCGCTTGGTTCTGTTGAGTGATTCGGAACTGAGTATCCGCTGGGGTTCCGTTGAGTGGTCCGGTTCTCTACTCCGTCTGGATTCTGCTGAGAAGTATGGAATTCCTCGTGATCGGCGATTCCGTTGAGTGGTTCGGAATCGTATCCAGCTTGGATTTCGTTAAGTAATTCGATATGCATTGTACTCCGCAATTCCGTTGAGTGGTCCAAAATCGTATCCATTCGGATTCCATTGAGAGATCTGGAATCCCTTCTACTCCGCGATTTCGTTAAGTGGTCCAGAATTGTATCCTGGTTTGGATTCAGTTGAGTGGTCCGGAATCCTGTTTGGTATTATGGTTCCGTTAAGAGGTCCGAAACCCGATGTTGATGGATTTCGTTGAGTGGTCCGAAATCGCATCATTTGACTTGTTGGTTCCTTGGATTTGATTTCAGTTTCAGAGATGTAGGCCTCGGTCGAACTGTGTCTAGCCCCGCATTTCGGTATATTGTATGTGTTATGGATTGGTATGATCGTGAAGTGATGTTGGTTATGATGGTTGTCATTATGATTAGACTCGTTGACCTATGTGGCTAGAGATTATTAATGTATTTTATTGAATGTTCCATGAGTTGCTGCATGCCTGATTTGTGGCATTATGTCGAGACCTAGTGGTTTATGTGACAAATGCTCGAGTGTGGGGAAGGATGAACTATGAATGGCTTGATTTCTGTTTAGGATACGTAGGCAGTCTAACAAGGAGGTTAGATGCAGCCATAAAGTATACGAAAAATTGCTATGCGATTCGATTCTTGAGTTATGCCTTGTACATATCCTGGAGGCGGGATCTGTTAGATATACGAATGTTGGGTGACGTCACGTATCGATCTTAAACGTATGTCGGGTTCGAGGCGTGACACTTTTTGGCCCTCGGAATGGATGGATGATCATGACTTATCACTAGTTGTCCTCCTTTAAAAAAAAAAAAAATTTAATGTAACGTTTGTCATTTATACCAATCGAACATAAAACATACAATTTATAAATAGAGAAAAAAGCTATTAAAGTACGTTAAAAAGTGAATTGAAGGGAACTAAATTGGCATAAGGTGCAAATGTATGTTTGTTTATTGCTACTAGAGTAGAGTCTAACGAGATTCGAATTCACACCGCCATCCAAAAGCTCAATTCCTTTTCACAATTGTGGTAAATGACCTCTTGCAAGTTCAATGTTAAAATAACTAAAATATACATATGCGAAAATAAAAACAAAATAAAGTGACAGGTGTTTAAAAGGTAAACGAGTGACCGCGGCTTGGCCTTTTGTACTCCGTCTGATTTGGTGGTTGGTCTCAAATTACGTTTGGCACTACACTACTAGTTGTTCACGGCCTATTTCTCTGACTTTTGAGAGTTTTGACTCCTCCGTCCGTATGTACCTTCCTTTTTCTGCCATTTTTAATTTTTTATCGGAACTCCAATATTAAATTGTAATTCTCTCTTCAGTTCTTCATTCTCTCTTTGGGTTTGGGCCTTAAATATCCTTGATTGTTTGTATTTTTCGGTCTTTCACATTTAAAACGTAATTGAGTTGGTTCGGTGCAGGGTACGGCGAGAGAAAGAGAGGTGATCAATCTCTGCAGTCATCGATGGTATTCTTCAGGAGCGTCACCGCGCTTTCCAAGCTCCGTTCTCGTCTCGTGAGTTCCTTTTCCTTTTACCTGTTTCAGACCGAAATTTGTATTTTTCCTTTTTTGGAACCAAATGTGTTTGTGATTGTGATTGTGATGGTTGCAGGGGCATCGGTCGAGTCTCAGGGATTCCGTCAGATGGATTCAAACGCAGACCACCACAGATCTCGTGAGTTCTTCTTCCTATTACGAAACGAGTCGATATTCTGCATACAAATCAATTAGTATTTGTAGAATCCATTTAATTTTATTTACCACATGCACGTTGGAGCCTCTAAATTGTAATTCTGATATTATCGTTTTCATTTTATGTCAATTAATTTCCGAGAATGTGCAAAGTAGTGAATCACAAATGTTGCAAGTAATAAATCTCAGTTTTGTCATGACATTCATTGTGTCTGTGTTGTCAATGCCGTGCAGGACCTTCGTTCTCAGTTGGCGGAATTGATTCCAGAACAACAGGTTTGTTACACTAGTCTAGTCCTAGTCCTGACTGAAAGCATTCACTTTCCCAATAGCTGTGTTTTCTTGTTTTTGGTTTACTTGTACGCTAATATCACTCGATTGTATTCTTGATGTCGAGTGTTGAGTTGCTGCATTCTTTGTTTATTTAGATGACTGGTGTAATGTGTGGGTGAGAATCAGTTCTTTCCATCTGCTTCAAGTAGTGTGTGCTTAAGAGCTAGCTAAAGCTCTTCCTTCTATTCATTTTTCCATAGGCATTAGATTGGTGGAAGGTTGAGGTCTTATGTCATGCACAGTTTTTCATACTTTGAGCAATTCTGAGATTTTACTTATATTTGAATATTAGATATGTTAGTAAGTGTATTTTGTATATTATCACAGCTGCATGTTTCTTTCTTGGCTACAGGAACGTCTGAAAAAACTGAAGGCAGATTATGGAAAAGTTCAACTGGGCAATATCACGGTTGATATGGTATAGTATCTTTCTTTCTTCCTTTTCTTTCATATAGAAACTGTAAAATGTTTCCCTTTGTTATCAGTCGAAGAACTTAATGCTTGTACCATTAAAAGCCAAGAAGTGAGCCTTCATCTGAACTTTATTATTTTTCTTTTTAAATAGAGTAAACTTTTAATTTTGAACTTACATATGATCATAGGTTGTAACTGTGTTTGGATTCGATTTAAAACTGCGTAGGTGATTGGTGGAATGAGAGGAATGACAGGGTTGCTGTGGGAAACCTCCTTACTTGATCCAGATGAGGTGTACATTTGAATTACTCATCTTGAAATTTTATAAATCAATGTGGATAAATTTATGTGACAATTCTAACAGCTAATTGAAAATATGATGTTAATAGGATGTCTTGATTTCTTTATGCAGGGAATTCGCTTCAGGGGTTTGTCAATTCCAGAATGCCAGAAAGTATTACCGGCTGCAAAGCCAGGTGGAGAACCTTTGCCTGAGGGTCTTCTGTGGCTGCTTTTGACAGGAAAGGTATGGTTTTTTAGGCATATTCCATCACAAGATATTTTAAAGGTGCACTCTTGAAAAAATACAAGTTTCATTTTACTGTAATGTGTATCCATGATTCCATACAAGATACCTGTAACTCCCTATATACCTCCTGAAATACTTAGCCTCAGCTGAATGTCATCATTAATGTCACAGTTCAAATTTGGATAAAACATTGCTTGCGTATAACATGCACCAAAGAGCGTTTGTATTTAATTATCTGGCTTTGTTTTCTTTTTTACTTTGGGTGTGTTTTTTTTGGAATATCTTAACATTGAACACAGCTTTTGCCATTCGTATGTGTCATAGGTACCTAGCAAAGAGCAAGTAGATGCATTATCCAAGGAATTGAGGACTCGTGCTGTAGTTCCAGGTTTGGTAGCTTATATTTGTCTATTTTGCTACCCATAATTTGATGAACTACATAATTCTGTTTGGATTATATTATATGTCTTCATAAGAAAAACCAAATACTTATGACGACTTCAATTGGCTACTTCTGAAGTGGTCATATATGTGAGAAGCCTACCTACAGAAGATGTTTGTTTCACAGTTTCACTTAATACTTGTATCTAGAAAGGCTCTTATGTGCATAAGGTTTGATTGAAGTGCTTCTGTGCGCAGTCACTCAATTTTTACACTCTTATGATCATTAATATAAGATTACTCATCAGATCTCTGTAATTCTCCATTGCAGCTCATGTGTATAAGGCCATTGATGCTCTGCCTATTACAGCACATCCAATGACCCAGTTCACCACTGGTGTCATGGCCCTCCAGGTTGGTATATGGGCTACTTAGGGTTGCATTATACTCATGTTTCAGTTATTCTCCGTTTGCCCTTTTGCCATAATCATGGTTGGTCAAAATCAGATTCATGCATTTAGTTTTGGTTCTGTATTCATGCATTTAGTTTTGGTTCTTGGTTAGCCAAATTGTCTTTAGCAGAACCCTAGGCTTCTAGGTAACTGTGAAATGGAAGGTGGGGCATTTCTTTTAGGCTTTTCCCTTAGCCAAGGGTGTATTTGCATAAGCAAATAACTTGATATTTTGCAAATTGTAATACATCATCGATTATTATAATGTATGCATGTATTTCTCATTAATATTACGGTATTACCCCTCTTGAGTCTTGATTACTTGATTTCACACATTCAACTGTGAAGTGTTAATATTATCAGCATCAATTCCCGGATGTTTTGTTTTAGTTTCTGTATAAATAGAGGAGAAATTGCTGTACATTATGTAAGATTGATATGGAGAACTACTACTTATATGTAAGAGAACTTAGTGTCGAGTCCCCAGATTGTCTCTTCATAATCTCATATGCTTCTAGCATTCCTTTGTGTATTCAACTTTTTCTGAATATGTTTAATGCGAGGTTTATGTTGTAAATTTTTCATAATTACTTTCTGAGATAAAAACTTCATAGTCCTGAGTTTACTATGCAATTTTTGATCTATCACAATAAGTTTGAATTACATACGAACAAGTAATTAGATGAAGTCCTTGCTTGGGTATGGTCTGTTTTGCATTACAGTTATCAATTAGGATTTATCGCAAAAGTATGATACATGCTACTTCTGTGGTGAATACTGCATGTTGTCTTTCATCTTCATGATTGTTGATCTAGAGCTAAGGAGGCTAATTTTTCTGAATGACTATTCTTTGTTGGAGCATTCAATCGGCTTCAGTGTTTCTTTTGGGTTTAGTGACAGTATTTCTTTCTAAAAGAATGAAATGTTCTCCACGTGAATGAAACAATTAAGTATTTCATTAAAAGGCTGGCAGTACTCATTTACCTGATTTGCTGAGTATCTCTAGTATATGCAACTAAATTTCCCATTGTTTAATACTGCTTTCAGGTAGACAGTGAATTCCAGAAGGCATATGAAAAGGGGATACATAAATCAAAGTAAGTTTGCTTGTATTTTTCTTTTCAACCCCAGTCTTCCATTACTTTTCAGACCTGTTAACATAAGTTATTTTTAGGTACTGGGAGCCAACTTTTGAGGATTCACTTAGCTTGATTGCACAAGTGCCAGTAGTAGCTGCCTATATTTATCGAAGGTTGGTAAAGCATATTACATCTTTCTCATAGTTATATGTTTGAATGTTTGACCTTGTGTTCTTTCTAGAAAGAACAAAAGTTTTAACATTGTGATCAGATCGGAAGCCAGCAATCCAATGCTAATCCAGAAAAATTTGGGAATCAACTATTAGTTCCAATTTGGGATTATCGTAATTTATCAGAAATTTCGGAATCGGTTTTATCTCGGAATTTACGATCCGGATCTCCTACAGTTTGCAAAACTTTGAAAATTTTCAAACTTTTATGTATCTAGCATTCAATATTTTTTTTCCGAATTTTTGCTTGTAGGCTGTTAGGTGAGTGTATGACATAAAATCATTGTGGACAAGAAAAAATAGTACGTATGATTATGCTCTTCATTTTTAATTTACAATAGGTGAGTGTATGATATAAATATAACAATAAACATGATAAAATAAGAATACGCATGGTTTTTTTATAGTACTAAGTTTAAGAAATGTCAGAATTTCGGTTTGGATAGGTACATTCCAATTGCCATCCAAGTCTTTCAGAAATTTTCAGAATCGGAAATGTTCGGTTTGGATTAGAATTTCCAATCCAACTGCACCCCTTGTGCATGTTTTAGAATAGCATTTAATCTAAACCTGTGAAACTTTTGTGTAAAAAGTTGTTTCTTATGTACGATGTTGTCAACTGACTGATGAACGATGGCATTATTTCTCTTCTTCCTTGTGGTTTGAAGAATTTTCAAGGATGGAAAAGTAAGACCCGTTAATGATTCTCTGGATTATGGTGCAAATTTTTCACACATGCTGGGTTTTGACGATCCCATAGTGCATGAGCTCATGAGGCTTTATGTCACCATCCATAGGTTTGTATAAACTTCTCTTTCAAGGACAGTGAATGACATGTTTCCTTTGGTTTCAAGTTACATGACATTTTAAGTAATAATGCATTGTAGTGATCATGAAGGTGGGAATGTCAGTGCTCACACCGGCCACTTAGTAAGCTACCCAATTTTTGTTCTTTTTTCCCTTGTTATTTTCTTATACTTTGGTAATGAGGACTCCTGTTAACATCATTTCGTCTTGAAAAATGTAAATCATGCGATGATTTGATCGATAACTTGATATCTATTCCAATTTGGATGTTGATGTATATGTTCTTTAATTTTACATTCTGAATACAGGTTGCTAGTGCACTTTCAGATCCGTATCTTTCATATGCAGCTGCTTTAAACGGCTTGGCTGGCCCACTCCATGGTTTGGCTAATCAGGTAATATTTTTTTCTTATGTTTGGTTTTTTCCATCTGTTTATTCTAATAAAAGCGTGAACTATATTTTGTATATCTAAAAAAGTTATTGATGTATAGAAAGGTTGCATGTTGAAATGATGCATTCTCTTTTCCTCATACCGCACTGTTTTATTGCAGGAAGTATTGCTTTGGATAAAGTCTGTGGTAGATGAAGTTGGAGAGAATGTAACTACAAAGCAGTTGAAAGATTATGTCTGGAAAACATTAAAAAGTGGGAAGGTAATGCCATCGACTTTTACCTAAATAGTCTATTTAAATATGGCCCATGTTCAGTTTATTCTCTTCTTGTAGTAAACGTGCACGGTTGATCCCTTGCTCACGAATTTATTATTATTTTTGTATGAATCTAGTATCTAATTAGCAATGTGCATCTTTGCTCACGGACATTTTTCTGCCAGAAAATTGGCTAAACCATTCAATCTTTGTCAGAACTCGCCTACTGAACTTAGAACTGTCAACAGATAAATAAAATATGTAGTAATCAGTGCTGGTCTTGAGATTTTTGAGGCCCAGGGCAATACCAGAAAAAAGTGCCCTAGTATAACTCCACGTAAGAAACAAAATTCAATTGTTTTAGTGTTCGTATTCGTGCGTGCCGATGTAACTTTTCTTTGATAAAATGATAGCGGGGTGTGAGGGATTATGCTAAAGCAACAAGATGGGTTAGCCATAATTTGGTATCTAACTTGTCATTTAAAAGACTCAAACCTAAGACCTCCTACTTATACGTGAAGAAAAAATAGATTTCACATCTAAGCTATAACATTTCACGTTGGTTTGTAATTAGATAAGGGTACACAAATATTTCACAAGCAAAAATCAATTAAAGTATGACAGGTGTTTTTGTATAAAACTTATGGTTATGGGGATAATTTTCTGATTTACTGTCCCTTGGGGCTTCATAAGAATTGTCATATTTTTCTATCTCTAATTTTTATATATAATGTTATAAACAATGAATGAACCAAAAAACTTATTGAAAAACCAAATACCACATATATGTTATTTAAAATTATAACTCATTTTTTTCTTGGATAAGAAAGAAAAGTAACCCTAAACCTTAACATTATATTGAAACAGAACATCATTGCTAAAAAGAAAAAGGCCCTCGGTTTGATCTGAACCTGGGTGGCTATTATTATTATTATTTGCCAAAGGGTGGTAATTAATTGAAAATGAATTTGTAAAAACCACTTTTGTCAAAGGCACATATAGAAATATAGCTACTTATTTAAACCAAAGGTGAAATAATTCATAAAAAACATAGGCAGTTTTGAGATTCGAACCCGTGTTCCTTTCCATTGCAAGAAATCAGCGAAACACTGCTGCAAATAACAAATTATGACAAATAATCCAGTTTTATATTTTTATATGCTTACTGGACATAACATTATAATAATAGAAATTAAATTTTTTTGTGCCCTTGATTTTTTGGGACCCCGTGTGGTCGCCCTGGCTGCCCTGGTCTAGGGCCGGCCCTGGGTGGTCGACTATTCTACCCTTGACTTTGTAGAAGTTTTAAACTTGCAAGGGAAGTTACCTTGTCAGACCTGATTAGTTTTTTTTTTTGTTCCTTAAGCAAAATGGACTTTCACTTTTCTTGAATCTTCACTATTTGAAATATATTTGAAACTTCGTTTGATGCCCATAGTTTGATGAGCTGCTAATATTCTTGTCTGTAATTGTCACCTCTCTCCTCTTTTTCTCGTATTGCAGGTTGTTCCTGGTTTTGGACACGGAGTCTTGCGTAAAACAGACCCACGATACACATGTCAAAGGGAGTTTGCATTGAAGCACATGCCTGATGATCCGCTGTTTCAGCTGGTAGGTGTAACCCTGATCGCACGAGGGTGTGCCCTTTTTATGCACACTGCAAATCATGGTTGTAATTGCATCCATCCTTTATGAGCTAATTTAGTCATTACCTTAAACAGGTCTCGAAGCTTTATGAAGTTGTGCCTCCCATACTTACTGAACTAGGCAAGGTAATTTAATAACTTTATTTTATGAATGTAAATTATGTTATATCTTTGCCTCTTGAGAATATTACTGTAATCCTTTATATTTACTGACGGAAGTGCAAAATTTTTTATTCTGCTCGAACTATGATCTTTCACTTTAAAGCCTAGTGAGAAATTGAGGATTTTTACAATCATTGTATCTGTCTTTTCCTATTAACCTTAGGACCAATCTGATGCTGATTTTATCTGGGATTTTATCATCTTTATAGGTTAAAAACCCATGGCCCAATGTAGATGCACACAGTGGAGTTCTGTTGAACCATTTTGGTTTGACTGAGGCAAGGTATCATATTTCATGTTATTATTCCTTACGTTGTACCTGGTGATGGTCCATAATATTCCAAAGCGGTACATGTTTTGAGATGATAATGTACTTGAAATTCAACCGTGGCAGATATTTTACTGTTCTTTTCGGTGTATCGAGGAGTATAGGGATTGGTTCCCAGGTTCTCTCTCTCTCTCTCTCTCTCTCTCTCTTTTATTCCTAATTGTTAAATTTTCTTTGTGTTAATATGTTCTCTTGGTTTGGTTCAGTTGATATGGGACCGAGCTCTTGGTTTGCCTCTTGAAAGGCCAAAAAGTGTTACGATGGAATCGCTTGAGAATTTCTGCAAGAAAGCAGCTTCGTCTTGAGAAATTGAGTGTTGTATCACTTTGTTTGAGTAATAATTGCTCCCGAATGATGGCTTTGTGAAGGATGCAGCGGTGGTGTAAAAATTTCAGTTTCTGTTGGTTTTAGTTGAGAAATTGTCACAGGAAAACCTCAACACTCACACATCACTTGAGCATATTCAAGTACTTTGAAGAAATTTTGAAGTGACATAGGCGCTGGGGCTTTTGCTGCTCAGTTAATAAACGGATTGGAGCTATTTAGATTAAAACGTGTACTTTAAAGATTTCCATAAGTAGAATGTTTTTTACGCGTATTCTACTATGAGGGCGGCACATTTATTATTGGGAACTTTAATTAAAAGTGTTCGGACTTTATTTTAACAAAAAAATCGTCTTATAATTTTAGTTAATGAAAATGACTTAAATTTTACCAAAAAGAACAAAAGTTTGATATACCAAAAGTCTAAAATATAAAATAGAAAAAGTGAAAAAAAAAATTGCCTTGCGGGAACCCGCGAGTCCATCACACGTAATATTTTTGAAATTGAATGATATTATACTATTTTTCAAACTTAATGGTACTACATTATTTTTTAAACTAAATGGTACTACACTATTTGTGACTGAGGCAAGGTATCATATTTCATGTTATTATTCCTTACGTTGTACCTGGTGATGGTCCATAATATTCCAAAGCGGTACATGTTTTGAGATGATAATGTACTTGAAATTCAACCGTGGCAGATATTTTACTGTTCTTTTCGGTGCATCGAGGAGTATAGGGATTGGTTCCCAGGTTCTCTCTCTCTCTCTCTCTCTCTCTTTTATTCCTAATTGTTAAATTTTCTTTGTGTTAATATGTTCTCTTGGTTTGGTTCAGTTGATATGGGACCGAGCTCTTGGTTTGCCTCTTGAAAGGCCAAAAAGTGTTACGATGGAATCGCTTGAGAATTTCTGCAAGAAAGCAGCTTCGTCTTGAGAAATTGAGTGTTGTATCACTTTGTTTGAGTAATAATTGCTCCCGAATGATGGCTTTGTGAAGGATGCAGCGGTGGTGTAAAAATTTCAGTTTCTGTTGGTTTTAGTTGAGAAATTGTCACAGGAAAACCTCAACACTCACATCACTTGAGCATATTCAAGTACTTTGAAGAAATTTTGAAGTGACATAGGCGCTGGGGCTTTTGCTGCTCAGTTAATAAACGGATTGGAGCTATTTAGATTAAAACGTGTACTTTAAAGATTTCCATAAGTAGAATGTTTTTTACGCGTATTCTACTATGAGGGCGGCACATTTATTATTGGGAACTTTAATGAAAAGTGTTCGGACTTTATTTTAACAAAAAAATCGTCTTATAATTTTAGTTAATGAAAATGACTTAAATTTTACCAAAAAGAACAAAAGTTTGATATACCAAAAGTCTAAAATATAAAATAGAAAAAGTGAAAAAAAAAATTGCCTTGCGGGAACCCGCGAGTCCATCACACGTAATATTTTTGAAATTGAATGATATTATACTATTTTTCAAATTTAATGGTACTACATTATTTTTTAAACTAAATGGTACTACACTATTTTTGAAATTGAATGGTACCACATTGTTTTTGAAATTGAATACTATTAACACTGATTGTTTTTGAACTAAATACAAGAACTACATTATTTTTGAAATTGAACACGAGTACCATACTATTTTTGAAATTGAACACGAACACTATTCTTAAAACTGAACACATTTTGCCATGCACTGACTACTTTTTAAGCTGAATATGACATCTCTCCGAAGTTTAACTATCATTCTTCTATCTCCTCTTCTTAAATTTTCTCGGCACTTTCTCACCTTCAAAATTAATATTTTAATGAACAGTGTCAGGTCATATTTCTTACCATCTCTAACCGAGGGGCACGTCTCGGATTTCGAGTGATACATGTCTATATTTGAGTGACTTTGCATATTTATTGTCAATAAGGTATCTCAATAATTTTATGTCTCGGATTTCGAGTGTCACGTGTCGATATCTGAGTGACTTTGTAGATTTCTTGTCAATAAGGAATCTCAATAATTTTACGTCTCGGATTTCGAGTGACAGGTGTCGATATCTGAGTGACTTTGCAGATTTCTTGTCGATATATGTGTCGATATTTGAGTGACTTTGCAGATTTCGTGTTGATAAGGAATCTCAAAAGAAGCATGTAGTAGACATTTAAGTTTTAATGTTATTTAATGTTGTTTAATGTTACTTAATGTTATTTAATGTTGTGTAATGGCTTATGTAGTTATAGGAAAAAAATTAGAAATTAATTTTTTTTTTTTTAAATTTTGTAAAAAAAAAAATCAATATAATGGCTAGCTGACGTCATCATGACATCATCAAGTAGCCGTTGGATTCAAATTACTAGACCGGTCCAAGCTAGCTGGGTTGGGCCAACCGGTTAGCCCTTTTCTCCTTTTTTGGCCTGGTGGGGTCCACGAGCCATTTGGCCTAGCCCTCGGTTGGAGATGATTTTCATGTCATTTCGGGCTATTTTTGGCTCCGTGGCCTTCTGGTAGGATCGGTTGGAGATAGCCTCAGCTTCCCAATAGGAAGATTGAATAGTGAGTGATCCAATTACGTGGCATGCACGTGGCTAGAGATTCAAGTAAGTTAATCTCTTCTCTTTCTTTGTTTGTTGCTTTATCAATTACAACGAACCAAATATATAACCGGGATAACATATTGCATGGATGATGCAAATGCCCATTTCGCCCTTTGTAATAATTTGATAACACATGTAGTATGAACTTGTACAAAGAGGCTAAGTCTTGTGTTTGTAGCATTTAACTAACTAAATTGTAATGACTTTACAATTTAGGTCCATTTGCTTGTTTATGCTTTCAAATTACTAAATTGTTATGTTGTTTGTTTATGTTTTCGGTTTAGCTCTCTAAGCTACCAATGTCATTTCCATATGTAGTGTGTTTTTATTTTGAAATTGATAAAAGTAAGCCCTTTTAGTAGAACATCTTATATCATTTTATGTTTAATCATTAAACATACAAACAAAAAATATGAAATGGGCTATTACTTTACTCGTACCCACTGCTTTTTAGGGCTGGATGTAACCTAATTTTTTGCCACACAAGGAAAGACGTTACCCACCCAAGTGGTGGATCTAGCCATATTTTCCGGTATTAGGGATGAAATTTTTCACTAGGGCTTCATATATATGTATAAGAAGCCTTTAAGGGAAGGATCCTCATTTTTAAAGGGATCCCCATTTTTTATTTATAAAAATGGGGATTAGTTGTGGGGTCCGCACCACATCGAACTTTAACATCAAAACCGTCTATTTTTCAAGTTGTACCTCATAGATCATCCTTGCAAAATATTAGCCAAATTGGAAATATTTAACACATCTAATTGGGTTTAAAGAAATGAACGAATACTTTGTTATATAAAGAAACAATGAAATTTGATCTTGATAATTAAATAGGTAAATGGTTTCGGATTGAATTGAATTTTTGCAAGGATGATCTATAAATCGAGACTTGCAAAATAGATTATTCGGATCGTTGAAATTTGATGTGGAGTAGGCCCCACAACTAATCCCCATTTTTTTTTAAATGGGGATCCCCTTGCATAAAGGGCCTGTATATGTATATATATAGTAGCCCCATAGAGTATATATAAAGCCACCATTGAAAATGCTCGAGGACGGTGATGTCGTTGTGCGACCATAGGAGTTCCTAACGAGGCTACAACGTCTAGAACAATAGTGGGAGTCTTTTTATAACCATTAAAAGCCCTGTCCTATGTAGTAGAAAAATTCTTCAACTCCTAATGCTTGCAGTTGATGCCGCCCAGCATCCCAATAAGACCCTGTTTCTTAGCTTTATTCAAAAGCCATTGTAAGTCTGCAGATTAGAGCAACGGTATTTCTTCATAGGGGTGCGCACAGTTTGATTTTGGTCTCGTTTGTACCATACTTCATAAATCCCAAAACTACCGAGCACTGGTTAACGTCGTATCTTCAGGGACCCATTGAAGGATTCGTGCTAGGGCACCCCTGCTGAAGCACAAGAGTTCCTCTCCAATCAAGAGACCAATCACAACAAGACACGTGTCAACATTAGAATAAAGCTCTTAGAGTCTCACATTGACAACAAACGGAAGTGAGCGACTCTCCTCAACTATAAAAAAAACTATTCTCCTACAATTAATCCCTAATGTCATTATTGTATTTAAACTCGTCATTAGAACTTGCTAATGATGATAATGCTTGAACCTATGCATTGTGTAAACTCTTCACTATTAATGAGAATTCCTCTACCCCGTGTACATAGCCCAACTTAGGGTGAACCATGTACATTTTGTGTTTGCTTCCATATCTCTGTCTCTTCACATATTATCCTCACTAGGTGAACGGAGCAACCTTGCGAAGGTCACATACTTAACACTTTACGTTGTTCCAAAAGTCCATGTGATTTTATGCATCAATTAGTCCAGTTTACCACTCATACTAGAACCGAAATGGATATCTCTACAGTTTGGTTTGGTTTTTAGGTTACATAATTAGTTCTACACGTCCCAATTTATAGGTTCAATATTATGTTTTGTGTCGTACTAGGTTACATACTTCCCATTTACTTGTAGGGTGCGTTTGTTGCACCAGACTATTTCAGATTGGACTAGTTTTAGGGACTAAGTTGGACTGGCTTAGACTAGACTAAGTTAGACTAATTTAATGAAGCTTTTGGTGCAATGTTAGACTACGAAGTTGGACTAAAAATAATAATAATAATAATTATTATTATACTTTAATTTCTTTTCTATTAAAAATATCAATATGGAAAAAAAGGGCATCTTCTTTACAAATTGTTGGTGCTCCTCTGCACCTTGGAAATTGTAGAACTTCCAATAACAAATGCTTAACCCAAATTACAGAGAAATCAGAAATCGTTCAATTTTATCAGAACTAATTGGCATCCCAGAAAACTCACAAATCCAGCTTCCCTTCACAAACCAAACGCAACGAATTCACATAATCCATCAAATGTTCTGAGACTTCAAAGAACAGAACAAGTAAAGTTTAAAAAAAAAAATGAGGGGGAGAGAGAGAGAGAGAGAGAGAGAGAGAGAGAGAGAGAGAGAGATTGGTGGTGGTTTGGACCAGTGGTGTGATCTTGCCGGAGTTTGGTGAGTGTAGGACACGACACGAAGAAGAAAGCAGGGAAGGACGAGACGCAAAGAAGAGCGCAGTGAGGATCCTCGCAGTCCCATGGTATTTGTGGGGTCTCGCTATGACCCTTTAGTGAGAGAGTTAGTGAACGCAAGTCCCCTTCAATCCCATTAAACATAGTCCCACTATGTAACAAACATAGGACTGCACTGATGAGTAGTCCTGTCTAGTCCAGTGAAGGCTAGTGAAGCCAAACAAACGCACCTATAATGGACAAAGAGGCCTTACTAGTGTTGGAGAACTAAACCAAATTTTAGTTATTGAGTTAAGAGTCACGAATAGGGATTAATAAAAGATAGAAGTCTTAGAGTTGTGATGATTGAGATTGCTAGAGTCAGTTATTTCTCTACACGTTTCAGTTACAAAGTTGTTCTTAATTAACTAAATAAATTATGATGTATTGTATTAGCTATAAAAGCCAAGCACTGTTATATAGTTTTTGTATGTGAAGAAATAAAAATGTTTTCACATTAAAAGCGTCTCCTTTCTCCACTACTCCAAGTTTTAATTAAGATTTCTCCCTTCCTCCTACAACTGCACAAAGTTTTAATTAAGATTTTTCTCCCTTCCTCCTGCAACTAGTAGTAGACTAATTGGTGAAAGGCAACAAACGAATTCATTTGATCATGTAGAAAGAATCCCTTTAAATTATACATAAACATATATAATTAACTAAAGTCTCATTTTTTCATCACTAGTCCAGTTCTTCTTCATCTTGGGACCAGTAGGCCCTTCTTCCCCTAACACTTCATTTGGTAGACTCTTTACGAATTTCTCAAATGCAGATTTGAGCTTTCCAGGCAAAAGTTTCTCCACCTTTTTTAGTTCATCAGTAATGTCATAACTAAGTTTTGGATCCCATTCCCAATAGTAGTTGAGCCATGGCGGTTCGGATATAACGGAGCCCAAATAGTCAACTGCAATGATTATAAACTGGCTTTGTCCAGTGTCCAATACCATCTTACTCTTGGCAGCATCATTCCTAATTCCTATTCCTCCAGTGCCTTGCAATACAAGTCTTGGCTTGGCATAAAAAGCATGGTCGTGCAAAGATGCATAGGTCACGGCTTTGTTCCCACCACCATTCTGAAACTCAAGCTCAGAAGCGTCCACCCATATGCACCCGTTGTGCTGCGAGAAGTAGACCTTCCAGAGTTCCTTAGTAAAATTGCTGACTCGTAGGGTCACGTGCTCCCAGTCACCAATATGTTCACCAATTTTCCCTAGGGAGAGAGATTCAGAAACTCAACTTTGGCCCTGGCGGGCCATTGAAAGGGTAGAATGCTAATTAGGACTTATCTTGAGGCTTAATTTTCTGATATTATTCTTTTTACCATGGAGGAAAATATATAATGTACAAGATTGATTTACAAGGAAAGAAACATCAAATAATATCTTTCCTAATTACATCATGATTATAAGGACCCAAACAAGTAACTAAACTAATTACAAAAGGTCAACTCTCTAACACTCCCCCTCAAGTTAGTGCATAAATGTCGTTCATGCCCAACTTGACGAGAGAGTTGTAGAACGCTTGACTCGCAACAACTTTAGTTAAGATGTCCGCCAATTGATCATCTGCTTTACGAACGGGAATTGAATAATATTCCCCTCCAATTTCTCCTTAATGAAGTGTCTGTCAACTTCCACATGTTTCGTGTAATCGTGCTGGATTAGGTTGTGTGAGATACCAATAACTGCTTTATTATCACAAAACAAATCCTATGTTGACTTTTGAAGGACACCCGAGCTCAGCAAGTAACCTCCAAAGCCATAATAATTCACACACTCCTTTCGCCATACCCCTGTATTCCACCTCTGTATTGGATAAAGCAACCACTTTCTATTTCTTACTCTACCAAGTCAATAAATTTCCCTCCACAAATGTAAAGTATCCAGATGTAGACCGTTAATAAAAAATGTTTCCTGCCCAATTTGCATCTGTATAACCTTCTATCCGGCAATGATCATTTTCTGAAAACATGATGCCTCTCCTCAGGGAGGACTTTAGGTATCGTAGGATGCGATCAACTACACCCATATGCATATCACTTGGAGAATGAATAAACTGACTAACAACACTTACTGCATATGTAATATCAGGTCTGGTGTGAGATAAATAAATTAATCTCCTAACTAATCTTTGATAACGATCTCTGTTAGTGGGAACTTGATCAGGGTGCACGGCAAGATGATGATTTTGGACTATGGGGGTGTCAGCCGGTTTACAATCAAGCATCCCTATTTGAGCTAACAAGTCTAGAACATATTGTTTTTGAGATAGAAATAAACCTTGTTTAGATCGAGCTACTTATATCCCTAAGAAATATTTCAATCCACCGAGATCTTTCATCTCAAACTCGGTTGCCAGGTAATCCTTTAGCCTTCAGATTTCCTCTTTATCATCACTTGGAACAATCATATCATCCACATAAATAATAAGTGTCGTCAATTTCCCCATTTGACGTTTCAAGAAAAGTGTATGATCAACTTTGCTCTGCCTAAACCCATATTTCCTCATAGCCGTTCGGAATCTACCAAACTATGCCTGAGGTGATTGTTTCAATCCATACTATGCTTTATTCAATTTGCACACTACTTCGGGTTGTGAAACTGATGCATAACCATGTGGAATAGCCATATAAACTTATTCTTTAAGATTACTATGTAAGAAAGCATTTTTCACATCAAATTCCTTTGACACCGAGAAAACTTAGTTGCGAAAGCTTATCGATTAGGAATTCACCCAACTAAACACGTTATCTTAGGAACCTCAAACCCATCCATGAAGGCGAAAGATTGAACCTTAGGATCGTACCTAGATTTTAGTAACTTAATCGGGTGATGATTAAAAATCGTTAACCCTGACTTCAAATTGATGGTCTACTCAACCAACTTTTGTAACCCGAGTTTTCTTCCATAGCCTGACGAATTCATAGTGGTCTTATCGCAACTTTCTCATCTACCTCGGTAGTGAGACCAAATTCTCTAAACACCAATAGTCAGCTTTATATCAAATTCTTCAAATGTTAAACTTGTTTAGAACATGTACGTTTCTTGGGAGCCGTGCTCTCAGTGGACGATATTCTTTTCTTTGCCCAAAAGGTTGTAGCAGAAGAAAGTTGAAATTCTCGCAAAGTGTTGTGAAATTTGAGATATCTTTGGCCTTGTCGATTTTTATCGACAATTGTTAGCGATTTTTTGGCTATAGTGTTTTTCCTCACTTATCGACCGAGGAAAGTTAGTTTGGTTTGGGATGTGGATATGAATAAAGTTTCTGACAACCGAACTGTTGTCTCACCTCACCTTTGCTTTACACCTTTCGATGACATTAACTTGAATTTACCAGATTTTCTGGTGTTTTGATCAACATTTACTCTGAATGTGATTCCATATTCATCTTCTTGTGCAAGAAAGCATTTCAATCGACCGTGGATACTTGTCTATTCTACTGCACTTCGTATTAATTTTGAAACAGATAGATCACCTAGGAGAATCGCTCGGACCTTGAAATTTTAGTTGTGGCCATTAATTCCTCAATCACCTAACCAATACTCTGTTGAACGAACCTTTACTGTTGGTGATTGAATATTTCGGAAGCTACTGTTGTAGCGACATGTTATGCATTCAATCTAGTTACCTTGTATTCTTGATGTGATGAACTTGTTTTGACCTCAAATTCTTGAGTGTTCTTTTAGTCTTCTCGACATAGTTTTTCACTAAATTCGAGAGAATTCATTGTAAATCTACTCGCTAAGGTGTTGTGAATTGCATTGTTCAGCTACATGGTGTGCATGTCACTACTGTATCTCAATGTGATGCGCATTTCACTTCCAAGTCTTAGGAAGTCTCCTTGAAAACCATGGGTACTAAGTTTTTGTCAAATACCACATTTCGCCCTCAAACTAATAGCCAGTCTCAATGAACTGCCCGAAACTTAGAGAACATATTGCTATGTATGTTTTACAGTTTGAGCCAGTTATGTTAGACACTTATCCTTGTTAGAGTTGAGTGCAACTACAATTACTATTTCAATTTTTAGCATGGCACCATTCGAGATGATGTATAGACATTCTACTGGACAATACTTGATAAACATAAGAGTTTTACGAACGGGTATTTGAATGATTGAGTTTACGATGTAGCATAATTGTGAGCTATTGATGATGTCGCCCAAGAGGATAATGTGTGAGCGCAATCGAGGTGTATTTCCCAATGAGGGGCAAGATGGTAATATTGCACCATCGGGAATTATTTGCTTGCTTATCGTGACAACAGTGAATTGTCGGTATTGTCTGCAGACCGTAATTTCAATAACATATTTGTTGGATTCGTTAAGCAAGTGGACAATTAGGCCATTTACGTTAGTTTATTTATTTATTGTTTGGGCTTCACCCAAAGATACTACACTTATTCTCGGAGTACATTATGCTACGAGTACGTAGCTGAAATCTTTCTATGTTCGGTTTTAATTTTAGTACAATTATTTTTAACCTTACGTTATTATATATACGTATTTTGACATGATGTTATTATACTTATATAAATTTTTCGATTTTATGTTTTTATAAAAAGTATTATATTATAGTATTGTATTGAAGGAGAAGGAAAGTATGAGTTTGGAGGCATGAAAGAGGAATCATTGCACTCCGATTTTGATGGAATGACATTCTCTTTTATGCAACCGCTCTAGCTTGATTTTTTCTTTATGTATTTTCTATCTATCTTTGAGTATTTTATGTTTACAACTTATTTCAACTTTCGGGGATGAAATTTTTTTAAGGTGGGTAGATTGTAACAACCCGTCCCTAATTTTATGATTTTATAAAATTTAAGACTGTGAATTGACGAAAATGCCCCTAGAGGCAAGGATTTTGACTTCCGTTGACCATTGTTTAGAGAGACTTATAACTTATTCTTTTAGCGTATCCTTGTAGTGCTCATCACTACGAACATGTAGGTGCAAGCGGAATCAAAATCGGAGATACGGTTAAAATTTTACGGAACTACGATAGTAAAGGGCATTTTAGTAATTTCACGTTTACAGGAGATAATTTGATTTTGTCCTTTAGCCTTGAGCTGTGTACCATGTGGGGCCCACACCCTATTCATCTACCTCTTTCTCATGTCCCCTATCTCTCAGGACAATCTCACTTTAGTTTTTTTTAAATATTCCCTCACCTCACTTCCACCACTTATTGGCTGCCAACCCATCCTTTTCCTCTAACCCTTTCAGCTCACATCTTAATCCCTCTTAGACTCCCTCTTTCTCTGCACACGTAGGGAGGTCGAGAAGGTTTGCCCAAAAACCAAACCTTGATGATGATGTTTCAATCGACCACGACCATATCCTTGTTCCTTTTAAACCTTTCTTCAAACTCTCAGTCTCTTTCTCATCCCTTCTACCTCCACTGGTATGGAGAAAGCAACAGTGCATAGTCACCTAACTAAGCCAACTCCGGCGTATTTTTCAAGATTCCGACCAAGGTAAGCCTTAGGATTCCTTAGGTTCTCCTTTTAATCATGATCTGATGTCTTTTACAATCTTGTAATTGATTTGGAGAAAGATTGATGCAGAAATACCTCGGGGGAGTTTTTCCCCAGATTTCTGGGAATCGAACCGTGGCCATCCGGCCATTTTTCCAGCCGCCTCAGGCCTCATTTGGACCTCAAACTGGTACATTTCAAACCCTTACTTCACTAGCTTTATTTTGACTTTTATTTCATGAAAAATGGTTGGGTTTTGAGCTCGGGAATTTGCTGCCCAGTTTCGACGACTGGACCCGTGAGAGGAACCGTGTGGACCCAACCGCAAAAAAATAAAAAAAAAAAAAAAACGCCAAACCTGGAACTAGCCCAAGCCCATAACTCGAATCCATGGCTAGATTGACCCAGATCCATTTTTGATTTGGAGGGAATATTATATTAACCTCCCAGTTAACTTTAACAAAATATTCTATCTGAGAATGGAATATTCCGTTAAAGTTAACTGTTGACCATTAGTTGACTTTTTCGAAAATTTCTCAGAAACCTTCCTGGGCTAATTTCGACGTCCTTAATTCGTTTTTCACATCCATTTATTGAAATTCCAAAGTTTTAACATAGTTGACCATCGAGGCATCTCGATTGACTTTTTACGGTTGACCGTTAACTGTTGATTTTTTTAAGAAAAAAAGCCCGGGACACTCCTTAGCATATTTCGATGTGTTGATTTCAAATCTGCCATCCGTTTCTCCAAATTCAAGTGGTTTAATTAAGTTTTACTAATGGGTCCCAATATTATGCTTAGGTGTAATTACTATTGGAGACTCCAACTTCTTAACTCGAACGGATGTGGCATCGCAAGTAACTGTGAGTGAGTCTTTTCTTTTATATAGTATATATATAATTGTTAGTTTCCATTTATACATTTTATAAAGAGTTTTCCACAATACACCTAAATTAGCGTGACGTTTATAAGATTTAGCACGTTGATAGAAATTATGACGTTATGCTACGTCCTACGGGATGCAAATGTATGCTTATTATTATTGATTCCATAATTATATTTATGGCTATGAATGATATTATGTTGACTAGAATTATTGAATCATTGTGGCATGACTATATTTACGTTATATGCTTATCGTTGCTGCACCGGTGTTAACACTCGTTTGGGCCAGGGTCAGTCTTTCATGTGTATGTGCACATCGCATCATACGCTCACTTTGGATCCATTGTAGGCGCCAGTCCTATCCTAGATTTTTATAGGCAATTAAGACTCGTATATATTGTGCATAACACCAGTCTTCATGTGATTGTAATATTAGAACGTATATCATTATTACACCCAGTCCTCTTCATGTCAGAATATCTCTGCATGAACTCGTGCGTCAGCATGTGTCGATGAACACTTGATATGATATGTTTACTTATGCAAGATTATGCGATTACGGATGTCATGTATTTACTTACGAAGTATTGTGCCGTATTGAATTCTTGAAATATTGCAGGTTACGGTAAGTATTTTCTTACTATATGTAGTATGTATATTTTGGAAACTATACTTGTTTTACGGCAATGGGTTATAAAGTTTTCAAAAAGGTTTTTATAAAACTTTATTTTTAGGCCCACTCACCTTTGTTTTTCGCCCCTCCAGGTTTTAGCATCCGAGCTTTGGTATCGATAAGGATTCTTGGCAAATCTTGGTATAAGTGGTTACATTCGATGATATAATTCTTATCCTACTTTACTGTACTTTACTTATGAGTGTGAAATAGGTTCATTCCCGCTCACCAGCGCACTCTTATATTTAGGCACTTTCAGGTTTAAATTTATTCACATTTTTCATATCACTACACTTATGGCTTTGTCACCCTTCGGGTATCGGCCAACACAGCTTGATTCAGAATCCAGCTGGACATTCCGGGTCAAGGTGTGTCATACCCCATTGAAAAAGATTGAGATATCTCATTGTGACGGAAGAAATTGATCAACACAATATTATAAGAACTAAGATATTGTAGCAATGATCATTCAACAAAAAATTTGTGACCAATGGTCTCTAACTTATCAAAACGTACAATTATGGTCCTTTTTGTCAACTCCGTTAGAACTTCAGTTAAAATGAGTCACGTGCCACACATGTGAGACTAAATCAAGATGCAAATATGGAAAACCAAATGAGAAAAATTGTAGCAATGGTCCTTCAATTTTAATACAATTGGAGAAATGGTCACTCAACTTTAACCCAATTGGAGAAATGGTCCCTCAACTTTAACCTAATTGTTGCAATAGTCATTCCAACGTGACTCATTTTGACGGAGTTGAATAAAAGGACCATAGTTGCACAATTTGATAAGTTAAGGGATCAATGATCATAGATTTTTAGTTGAGGGATCAATGACCATTGCTACAATTTTGTTTATAACAAATATTGAAATGGCTTTTTAGCCAAAATGGTCTCTGAGATTTGCATAACTCCTCACTTTGGTCCTTGGGATTTGAAATCGGTAGAATTGGTCCCTGAGTTTATTAACCATCAATCATATTGGTCATTCTCTGAAATATCTCTATTGAATAAGGATAAAATGACAAAACTACCCTCAAATTTTGTCAAATCATTTGTCATATTGTTTATTAAATTGAGGGTATTTTTTGTCATTTTGAACCTTATTTAACATAATTTTTCATCAAATGACCAAAATGATTGATGGTGGATAATCTCAGGGATCACTTCTATTGATTTCAAATCTCGAGGACCAAAATGAGAAGTTATGCAATTCTTAGGGACCATTTTGGCTAAAAAAAACCTATTGAAATTTATGAATCAAATAGGTAATTTGGATTTGACAATCCCGTTCACCTGGAACGCAGGGTCCAGGGAAATCTTGGTCAACAGCCTTGGATTAAAATCCAAGGGTGAATAAATAAAAGCGTTTTTGTTTTAATATTTTTTTTACTTACAATAGTTATACTCTCTTTCCGAACTCTCTTTCCGAACTCTTCCTCAACGCATCTCTCTCCACGTCTCTCTCAGTGCATCGCTAGATTCGAGGTGTTGATGACCATTGCCGCCACGCCACTTTCAACAAACTCTGTTGTTAACCATCGCTAGATTTGGATAGCAGTAAACAAATAAATCTTGGATGCGACGTTTGTGTTCTCTGTCAACCACCATTGCTTGCAGTGCCCTTCATTCGTCATTCTTCGTTGGTTGTCGTTCATCGATTTCCGACAGAGCAAAGGTGTGAGGAAAGAGAGAAAAAATGAAGATAATATTAAATGACTTATTTTTCTGCAGCGTTGGATTAGATTCAACGATGGTTGACCAAGCTTTTCCTGATAGTTTGATGTAGTTGTAGCAGTAGAGTCACATGTCAAAATTTGAATGAAAAAAGTAAATAGAAACAGGTAAGTGGGAAATGAAGAAAGCATTCCTCTTATCATAAATAAAAGATTATATTGTAACAATAATTTCTCAACTATAATTAAATTAGAGTAATAGTCTCTCAACTAAAAATTCATTACTATTGGTCTCTCAATTCATCAAAATGTATAGCTATGGTCATTTTGGTCAACTTATTTAGAATTTTGTCAAAATAAGTTATGTTAGAAGACCATTGGTACAATTAGGATTTCTCAACTCATCAAAACGTGTAGCTATGATTGTTTTTGTCAACTTCGTCAGAATTTTGTCAAAATGAGTTATGTTTGAAAGACCATTGCTTACAATTGAGTTAAAATTGAAGGACCATTGCTCCAATTAAGTTAAAGTTGACAGACCATTTCTCCAGTTGGATTAAAGTTGAGGGACCAATGGAAATGAATTTTTAGTTGAGAGATCATAGCTACATGTTTTGATGAGTTGAGAGACCAATGGTAATGGTTTTTTTAGTTGAGGGACTACTACTCTAATTGAGTTAAAGTGAAGAGACCATTACTGCAATTTACTCTAAATAAAAAGCCTAGCTAAAAACTTTGGCCATCTTTCCAAATTTCCAAGATGGATTGATAATAATTTAAAGTAATAAGAATCTATTGTAAACAGTGGGAATGTATGCCCACATGCCAACAGTAACTTTCTCACATAGTGTTGTTTTTGCTTTTTGTATAGCAACCATCCACTTCCTATAAACTAATCACGGACGTTGTTGGATTGGTCACGGGTGTAATTTCCATTCACTGTAAACCTACGGATGTGGCTTTATAAATAGAGCACTCCGCAGGTGATCAAGTTATAGCAACTGAAAAGAGAAAATCACTAAAAGTAATAATATTAGTTTCTCTCCTCTCCTCTCCTCTTTTATCTACAATCATTTGTGTTCTTTTATCTGCAATCATTTGTGTTATAGTTACAAAACAAAAACAAAGTGATATTTCACACACGCTTCGTTCATGTGATATTACAAAACAAAAACAAAGTTATTTCTCTAAATTTTGACTATTTATAACACATTATCAGCACGACTCTCTAACCCTAAACAGTTCTCATTTCCATTAGCCAAAAAATGCTTCCACCAAGGATTTTACTGTTCTTCTTCCTTTGCCTCACCTACCTGGTGTACCCTCGCTAAGAACTGCTAGCACCATGCCTGTTTCTAGTTGTCAATATAACAATTACTTATATATTTGATTTCTTGTTTAGTGTAGTTCCTGATTACTAACTGAAAGTTTATTTATCTTTGCTATGATCAAAGATGGTGCGGTATCATTACCCATCTTGGACTGCAGATTTAATTTTGGGTAAATTACACAAAACTACCTCAATTATGGGTCGAACGACACTATCATACCTTATCTTTTTAAAATGACAATGTCATATCTCATCTTACGAATTTGTGACAATGTCATACCTTCCGTTAGTTTGTCTGTCAATTACTCCGTTAAATAGTGATGTGGCTCAAAAAAATTAATTAAATATTAAAAACTAAAATTATAAAATCATTTAACAATTTTTTTTACATGGGGACCCAGCCCTTATCCCCCTCACCTTTCTTCTCTCCTTTCATCTTCCCCCACCCCTAACCCAGATCCCACCCGCTCCCGTCTTCTCCTAACCCACCCCCCAAACTCATCACCCTCATCCTTCTTCCCCACATGTCTCCCCCGAACTCATCACCATCACCCACCTTCCCCATTTCAGTCCCCACCCTAATTTCCCCACTTCGTTTTCCCTCGCCATGCTCAAAACCACCATCCCTCCCCTCTCTTTCCTTTTCCTCCTGTATTCTCTCTCCCTTTCTCCTTTTCAAGCTGCAACAGCAGCCTCGTCGGCTTCGCCATCATCCGTAAGCTCCAAGCCTTAGACTTTGCGAACCTCGTCTTCTGCACCCACGCCGAGCACCTTTTGTCTTCGAGAACCTGATAGATTCGATCGTCGATATGTGCCTCGGTGAGCTCGCCCTTCAGCAGATTTGCTGGCACAGCTATGGGTGCGAAGGGCGAGCTCGCCGAGGCACATGTCAATGATCGAATCGATCAGGTTCTCGGAGACAAAAGGCTCTCGGCGTGGGTGTGGAAGATGAGGTTTGCAAAGTCTAAGGCTTGGAGCTTACGGATGATGGCGGAGCATACGAGGCTGCTGTTGCAGCGTGAAAAGGAGAAAGGGAGAGAGAATACAGGAGAAAAGCGAAAGAGAGGGGAGGGATAGTGGTTCTGAGCACGACGAGGGAAAGCGAAGTGGGAAAATTAAGGTGGGGACTGAAATGGGGAAGGTGGGTGATGGTGATGAGTTCGGGGGAGGTAGGTGGGGAAGAAGGTTAAGGGTGATGAGTTTGGGGGGTGGGTTAGGGGAAGTTGGGGGCGGGTGGGATCTGGGTTTGGGGTGGGGGAAGATGAAAGGAGAGAAGAAAGGTGAGGGGGATAAGGGGTGGATCCCCATATAAAAAAATTGTTAAATGATTTTATAATTTTAGTTTTTAATGTTTAATTCATTTTTTTAAGCCACGTCACTATTTAACGGAATAATTGACTGACAAACTGACGGAAGGTATGTCATTGTCACAAATTCGTAAGATGAGGTATGACATTGTCATTTTAAAAAGATGAGATATGATAGTGTTGTTCAACTCATAGTTAAGGTAGTTTTGTGTAATTTACCATTTAATTTTACTACAATTTTAGCTAGGTGCGGTATGATCGCCCACCCTGCTCTGCATATTTAAATTTTCCTGCTGCTTGAGTGGTGCAGAATTGCCCATCTTATGCTATATTGTTTCAATGAGAGTGGTGCAGCACAATCACCCTCCTCATTAATCATGTAAATCTCGAGCCTAAAATTTCAAGTGCTTGTCATTTTGGCCTGAAGATCAAAATGAAAAATTTGTAAGAACCAGAAGTTTTAACACTACATTCCTTCAGAATACATATTGTTGCAAGTTCTTACACATCTCATTTTGCTTTCAGAAAATAAAATGGCGAACTTGGCAAAACTTGATTTTGTTGCCCTCGACATTACTGGGAAGAACTACCATACCTGGTTAGTGGATGCCAAGATCCATCTGGAGGTAGGGAATCTTAGAGAAACCATTAAGGAGGAGAATAATGCATCATCTTAAGATCGGGCGAAGGCCATTATCTTTATCCATCGCCACCTTGATGAAGGACTAAAGAGCGAGTAGCTAACTGTTGAGGATCCATTAGCCCTCTGGAAAACACTGAGAAATAGATACAATCATCAGAAACAGTGATTCTTTCAAGGGCTCGTTATGAGTGGACTCACCTAAGGATCCAGGATTTCATAACAGTGGCTAAGTACAATTCTGCAATGTTCAGAATCAGCTCCCATATGAAGCTTTGTGGGGAAACCATCACTGAGAAAGGTATGCTGGAAAAGACTTTCAACACCTTTTATGCCTCCAACGTACTCCTGCAACAACAGTATAGAGAACGAGGCTTTATTGAGTACAAACAACTGATATCTGTATTCCTGATGACTGAACAAAACAATGAGCTCTTAATGAAGAATCATCAGTCCCGACCTACTGGATCAACACCATTCCCAGAAGTGAATGCTGCTTCCCTTGAAGTGAACACCACATCATTTCGTGGCAATAATTATAAACGAGGACGTGGCCATAAGCGAGGCCAGTGGAACGGGAAAGGCAAGAACTATGGTGTCTAGTTTCACAACTCGGTTCCAAAGCATAATTCAAGCCCGAGCTTCAAGAATGCAAATCGCTAGAAAGGCAAAGCTCAAATGAATAACACTCGTAGAAATCCTGAAAGAGTTTGTTATAGGTGTGGTGGCAATGGGTACTGGGCGCGTACATGTCGTACCCCAAAACATCTGGTGAATCTGTATCAAGCCTCGCTCAAGGAGAAAGGTGTCAAAACCAATTTTATCGACCATGCTAAACCGATGAACAAACCTGATCCAGTATTCGATTTATCAAGGCAATTGAACACAACCCACCTAGATGTTTCAGACTTCATTGTGGAAAGAGGGAATGAAGGCCTCGTTTGGCAACTCGGACTGTACTGACTATTTCTGTCGGATAGGATAAATAGCCACCGGATAGTACTGACTAAATTAGTCGGGCGTTTGGTGCAGTATCGGATTAATGACCGTATTATTTATACTGTGTTTGGTACTGAACCGGATAGGACAAAAGAAAAAAAAAATTTAACAAATCTTTCTTTATTTGTTGAACTTTTCTCATATTTATTCCTATTGAAAACCACATAAATTTTCAAATAACAAAGAAAAATAGTAAATTTCATACATCAAATTCAAAATATTTTCTAATAACATAAAAAAAGGTTCACAAAAAACAACTACAATCGTTACGATATATAATCCAACCACATATCCAAGTTCATAAAATATACAATTGGGGTTACTTTGTCCAAGTAACATGAGTACAAAGGCTTTTTTCATTGCACCATCCAAAGACGAGAATGTCCTCTCATTCTGTGGCTTTTCAAAAAGGATATTTAGTGCCTTGATTTGATCCTCAATAGACAAATCCATCTTTGACAATTCTGAAACAATCTCAGGTTTTGGATCCACTCCTTTTTTCATTGCACCATCCAAAGAAGAAATGAAGCATGCCACAATCTTTCTTTGATCCATGTCTAGTGATAATATAAAATAACATTATTAGATAGTGGCAAAAAATTAAGTAAATGGAGCATGAATGAATAATAACACTAAAAACGGAAGGAAGCATGTTAACACACACACACACGCACAATCTGCACACACACACGCTGCACACACATACACACACACGCTGCACACACATAATCTGCACACACACACACACACAATCTGCGCACACACACAATCTGCGCGCACACACAATCTGCACACACACACACACACGCTGCACACACATACACACACACACGCTGCACACACATAATCTGCACACACACACACACACAATCTGCACACACACACACACACACAATCTGCACAATCTGCACACACACACACACACACACACAATCTGCACACACACAATTTGCGCGCGCGCGCGCACGCACACACACACACAATCTGCACACACACGTTGCACACACATGCACACACACAATCTGCGCACATTGCAAGCGCGCGCGCACACACACACACGCTGCCCTTGGTTTTCTCTTGCATTGCAAGCACACACACGCTGCACACACACACACACAATCTGTGCACATTGCAACCACAGACACACACACACACACACACACACACAGCCCTTGGTTTTCTCTTGCATTGCAAGCGAGCACACACACACACACACAATCTGCGCACATTGCAAGCACAGACACAAACGCACGCTGCCCTTGGTTTTCTCTGGCATTGCAAGCCCGCACACACACACACACGCACACATGATAGGAGCATATTTATGCGCCTTAGTTAGCTAGTTCTTATGCATTTTTGTTATGTTTTCTTTGTTAAAGTAGTCTTTTAAGCTACTTTCATGTGTTTTCAGGTTTAAAGGACATATTACATGAAATGATGCAATTTGGAGCTTTTGGAGCAAAAACTGAGCTGGAATGTGGTGTATGCAAATGGAGCACGAGGAATGAACGAGGTTGAAGGTCAAAGGAGCTTAAGAAATGAAGAAATGAAAGTGAAGAGCAAGGAAGTCGGAATTGGTAACCAAAGTTTCTAAAGTTGGAAGTTTCTATTCTTGGAGGTTTCCATTGTCGTGAGTTTCTATTCTTGGCTTTGGGCTTTTAGATGACCTAAACCCTAACCTTAGCCCATTTTAGAGCCATTGCCGTGGGCTTTAGCCCAAGTCCTTTCCCTTGCCATGCAAGGGGGGGCATTTTAGGCCCAAATCCATGCATTAAGCCCTTCACCCTAATTGGCCCAAATCCATGCATTAAGCCCTTCACCCTAATTCTTCCTCCTAATTAGTGCATCCCACCATTCCATTCCATAATTTCCATTAGTGCATCCCACCATTCCATTCACACTTAAATGCCCATTATCCCATTTTTTTAGCTTTTAATTCCACACCATCCCATTATCCTTTACATCCACTAAACCATGCATCCACATTCACCTAAATAAACCCTAAATTACATCCACTAAACCATCCATCCACCATAATTCCCACCATCCACACCTTTTCCCATCCACCAAATACCTTAAACAAACATCCATTAACACCCATTCTCCTCCTATAAATACCCATTCATTCCATTCACCAAATCATCTCATTTTTCCATTGTAATACACAAACACTTCCCCTTCTCCATTTCCTCCATTTCCACTTCATTCCACACTTCCATCCCCCCAACCAACCTATCCTTAAACCTTGTGCTACAACAACGAGGAAGAGAAGAGTGCCTAAACGTTCATACAATTCAATTTTTGAGTTGTTGGGATGTTTAGGTGTTTCTTTGATTTCAAAGTTTCATTTTAATTCTCTTTGTTTTGTACGTATGAGAAATGGAAGAAAAGAGTGCTTAAACGTTCATACAATTCAAGTTTTGAGTTGTTGGGATGTTTAGGTGTTTCTTTGATTTCAAAGTTATGAGGAACTAAACCCCCTTTAGCTAGGGGGTGATTCGAAACTATGTTTATATTTGCAATATGAATTGATTAACTTTCGTGGGAATTTCATAAGTTTTGGATTCAATTTGTTTAACCGTTTGATTGATAACTTATTTATGAATGTTTATTAAGAATGCGCGCTTAATTTTCATGCATAAATATGACGCTAGAATATAAGTGAATTTCACCTAATCGTTATGAACTTATATTCACAAGTAGTGGAGGTTGCTTATAAACAATCGCGTTAAATGAATTCTTGGCACGAGTTTCATGCTCATCATAGTAACAAATGCCTCGTCAACACTTATAGTTTTCATAATGCTTAATGATCTTTGATTGTATCTTTATTGTGCTGTTCACGTAAAGGACTTTTGGAGAATGTTGTGAATTGCGTTGCGCAAACCCATCCAATTCATTAACTTAAGGAAAACTTGACGGTTAATTTAAGCGGACTTAATTAGTCCGGAGTGTTGAGTTTCATAATTTATCGAAAGACCAACTGAGAATCAATCTTGTATGCAAGTATAACATGTGTGGAGAAGAACCCCTTAGCTAGTTTCCCATCCATTAAATTTCATCACATTCATATTTACATTCTGCTTTAATTTACAATCTGTGCATTTAGTTTATTTTCGTCAAAATCTCAATCCCCCTTTACTTTAGTGTCCAATTTAGTTAGAAAGTGTCTTAGTTTGGGAGAAGAACCCCTTAGCTAGTTTCCCATCCATTAAATTTCATCACATTCATATTTACATTCTGCTTTAATTTACAATCTGTGCATTTAGTTTAATTTCGTCCAAAACTCAATCCCCCTTTACTTTATTGTTCAATTTAGTTAGAAATCAATTTAGTTTGTGTTTTTAAAGCATTTTGAGTCTTTGGTTTGTCTTAGTGTTTTAAAGTTTAGTTTTGCATTCTTTGAGTCTAGTATAGTGTTTTATATTGTGTTTTTACGTTTTTGAGTCAAATCCAAGTGATTAACAATCCCTCCTAATCCCCGGTCCAGAACGATCCCTCACTTATCCATTCTACTACAATTGTCAAACGAGGGTTTAATTTGAGTGTCAAGTAATTCTCACATCAAATTTTGGCGCCGTTGCCGGGGATTAGCAACTTTGCTAATCCCTTGGATTGTTTTATTTTCGTTTGTTTTTATTTTTCTAGATTCTTAAATTTGTTTTGTTTCTTGTTTTAGGTACTAGTTCATGACTCGGAGTTCTCATCCGATTCGTGAACATATCCTGGAGTGATTGGGTTCATCGTCCGGCTGTACGACGTTAAAGCAAGCGCTACTTGGGAGGCAACCCAATACAGTGAATAAAGCTTGTTTATTGATTTCCGAGTGATGAAAAAAAAAAAAAAAAAAAAAAAAAAAAAAAAAAAAAAAAAAAAAAAACATGGCAGAAAGATGGAGCCTTTACAAAGGTTGTGTACGTGAGGCCCCACTACGTGGCAACACTCTCGGAGCAGGAGGCATCGGAACAGGAGGTCTCGGAGCAGAAGGCATTGGAGCAAGAGGCATCGGAGCGGAAGGCATAGGAGCGGGAGGTACCAAAGATAGATCATTCAAGGCCTCAAACCTTGGTGGAACGCTGGATGACCCAGGAAAGAGGTGCCTCTGGAAGAAAGCTGCAAACCGTTGACGGTCATCAAGCTCATCAAGCTTCCTCTTCATGCCTGACGAATAATTGTTGGCAAGCACGTGCAAACTTCGGTTCTCGTACTTAAGCTGTTTGATCTCTTGCTTAAGACTCTCTACCTCCGCCATCAAGGATTCAACCTGACGGGAGCGAGCAAGAAGGCGTTGGCCCATGTTGGACACAGAGCCAGCGCACTGAACGCTAAGAGCCAAGGACTCTTGAACGGCCAACTCATCGGACCGTCCAGAAAGCAGCTGACTGTCTTTGGGAGTGAGGAGGTTCCGAGCCACTATCGTAGCCGTTGTGGGATCCGTCATCACAAAGTCCTCATCTGTAAGAGGGCCATGGGAAGATAAGAAAGACGGGCACCATACCTTACCCTGACGAGACGCGACCGGATCACTGCTTAGACTCAAATCTAAGCAAAGGTTCGATGGGTTGGATGAGCTAGCCATTGTTCACAAAGTTAAAAGAGAAGGGGTGGACGGAGTAGATTTTCAAAAGAGCCGGAGACGAGTTTCAAGAATGGAAAATCTTCAGAGTGTGTAAGTTGGCGGTGATCGATAGCTCTATAAAAATGCCAAGGCAACGCGTCCACCAATTCAAAAAGCCTCGGCTTTTCAGAAATCGCGTTCAACACGTGGAGGCCATCATCGCAACTACACGTCTTTAGCCGACAAGCGCAAAGTTCGGCGACGCTTTATCTGCTTTGCAGAAAACGCGTGCCACTTGTCAAAAGATCTCAGACAGAGCCGCATCCGCGCTACTACGTGTCGTTCAGAAAGCGAAGGGCATCGTTCAGAAATCGAAGGGGCGACTGCTCAGAAATCGAAGAGGCAAATTCAAAGATCAAAGAGTCGTCACTATTTCAAAAAGCCGGATTTGCGGGATCAAAACGTTTGTCGACAACGGTAAAAGAACAGTACCACCACTTGCTATTGAATTCCCTATATATGTCGACCTTCATTTTTTGGCAAAGCAGAACTGAAGAAAATGCCCAACTCTTTCTCACCTTTGAGGGCGCACTCCCAGCAAAGCCTTTCAAAATACTCAATTCTTTCTTCTTCCCCAAAGATGATACCAGATGCCTGGAGCACATTGCAACCACAGACACACACACACACACACACACACACAGCCCTTGGTTTTCTCTTGCATTGCAAGCGAGCACACACACACACACACACAATCTGCGCACATTGCAAGCACAGACACAAACGCACGCTGCCCTTGGTTTTCTCTGGCATTGCAAGCCCGCACACACACACACACGCACACACGCCCACACACACCCACACCCTGCACACACATCCTGCGCACACACACACACGCTGCACAAACACACACGCTACACACACTATCTGGGCACATCGCTGGACACACACACGCGCTGCACAAACACACACGCTGCACACACTATCTGCGCACATTGCAAGCACAGACAGACAGACACACAGACACACACCCTGCACACACACACTATCTGCGCACATTGCAAGCACACACACACACACACACACACACACACACACACACAGAGTTAAAATTGTAAGTTCAACACCAACAACAAACCCTAAATTCGACTCCAATAGAAAACCCTAAAATTAAAAAATTCTAATTAAAACACAAAATTACATAATCAATTGCATAATTAGAGAGAAAATGATAACTAGATTCAATCAATTGAAAGAAAATTGCAAGAAAAATAGGAGGAGGGGGAAGAATAGAGGGAGGGGCGGAATCCTAGAAGAAGAAATCTGAAAAGTACTGTGATTCAAATGAAGAAGAAGAAGTTGAGAAGACGAACCTGGGATGAGAGGAAGAAAGAGTGCCTGGAGAGGAAGAAAGAGCACCTGGAGAGCACTGGAGAGCGCCTGTAGAGGAAGAGATGGTGAGGAAGACTGCTCTTTCCAACCGAAGCCCGACTAATTTGTACCGTGCATTTGCACGGTATTACTAAGCAGGTAAGCATCGGATAAAAAAGGTGGCCCCATATTATTTAATCCAGTGCTTATTTAATTCAAACGGTCACCAAACACGGTACACCGTATTATTAGTCCTATCCGGTGCCTTATACGGTGTACCAAACAGGGCCGAAGTGTATCGGTCTGATTGAATCACTTCTGTTTGATGTACTCTTATCTGAATTTGTAGTTTAAAGCTTTCATTTCAATTCAATAAAAGTGACATTTCAATTTCCTTTATTATGAATAAATTGTTCTGTTAACTAAGATTTCCTTACTCAGAGAGTATGGATAAAAATTATGGTTATTCTCAAAACAAGAGCAATAGTGGAGATATTTGTCTTGCAGATAGTGTAACCACGCATACAATACTTCGAGATAGAAAATATTTCTCAAGCTTGATGCTTACAAAAGTAAAGGTAACAACAATATCAGGCCAATCAGATGTAATTGAAGGCTCATGAAAAGCCCAGATCATGTTACCAAATGGAACAATATTGTCCATACAAAATGCATTGTACGCTACTCGATCTAAAGACATACGTTTAAATGGATAACACATTAAAACAAAAAGTGCAGAAAATGTGGAATATCTATGCATTACCTCCAATGATACCTAGAACCGTATTTTGGAGAAGTTGAGTGTTTATCGATTGGATTGTATTATAAATACATAAATATAATTGAAGCACATACTTTCATGAACCAGAAGTTCATTAATTCAAAAGTTTATATGCTTTGGCATGATCGTCTGGGTCATCCAGGATCTACCATGATGCGTATGATCATTACCAACTTTAATGGACATCCGTTATTGAGTACACACATTACTATCTCAAATGATAACTCTTGTAAGGCTTGTTCTTAAGGAAAGTTGGTAATTAGACCATCACAACTAAAGATTGATGCTAAATCCCCATCATTTTTGCAAAGAATTCAAGGGGATATTTGTGGGCCTATTCAACCACCTTGGGCACCATTTCGATATTTTATGGTTTTGGTTGATGCATCTACCCGATGGTCACATGTTTGCTTCTTGTCTACTCGAAATGTAGCTTTTGCGAGACTTCTTGCTCTGATAATTAAGTTGCGAGCACAGTTCCCAGATTATCTTATTAAGTCAATCCGACTTGATAACGCTGGTGAATTTACGTCTCAGACCTTTGATGATTATTGCTTGACATTAGGCATTGATGTTGAACACCCTGTTCCTTATGTCCATACTCAAAATGGTTTAGCATAAGCCTTTATCAAGCGGCTTCAATTAATAGCTCGTACTCTACTCATGAAAACAAAATTGTCAGTCTCTACGTGGGGACATACTATCTTACATGCTGCATCATTGGTTCGATTAAGACCCATAGCCAACCACCAATACTCATCAATACAACTCATATTTGGGTATCAGCCAAATATTTCACATTTATGAGTTTTTGATTGTGCTGTTTATGTGCCTACTGCACGGCCACAACGCACTAAAATGGGACCTCAGCGCAGACTAGGAATTTATGTGGGCTTTGATTCACCATTTATCATTAGATATTTGGAACCCTTGATAGGTGATATGTTTACAGCTCGTTTTACAGATTGTCACTTTGATGAGACAATATTCTCGTTGCTAGGGGAGAAAAAACTGTTCCAGAAGAACGGCAAGAGCTAACATGGATTGTACCTACATTATCTCATTTTGATCCACAAAGCACTCAATGTGAAAATGAAGTGAAAATGATCGTTCATCTTCAAAATATTGCTAATCAAATGTCAGATGCATTTAATGATGCTACAAAAGTGACAAAATCACATATACCAACTGCAAATGCACCTGCAAGAATTGATGTCCCTGCTAGACAAAATAAAGTGGTAGTGAATGATTCATCCAGTGCACGCCTAAAGCGTGGTAGACCCCCAGGTTCAAAAGATTCAGCTCCTCAAAAAAGAAAGATGAGGGCACAACTGAATCCAAATGAAATCATTCAAGAAAAGAAAATGAATGACAAATCCACAATCTGAACTTTCAGAAAAGAAAATGCCCTTCATGAGATACATGTCCCTGAAGAGACAGAAGTACATGAAAGCAAAGAAATCTTCATAAATTATGCATGTACTAACAACTTGTGAGATCGAAATGAAATAATCATCAACGATATGTTCGCATTCACAGTAGCCACTGAAATCATATTAAGTGATGATATTGAGCCCCACTCTATTGATGAATGCAAACAGAGACAAGATTGACCTAAGTGGAAAGATGTAATCCAGGCAAAATTAAATTCCTTAGAAAAGAGAAGTGTTTTTGGACCGATAGTCCAAACCCCGCCTGGTGTAAACCCTGTGGGTTATAAATGGGTATTCACAAGAAAACGCAATGAGAAAAACAAGTTTGCAAGATATAAAGCACGCTCATTGCACAAGGTTTTTCACAAAGACCTGAAATTGATTATAAAGAGACATACTCTCCTGTAATGGACGCAATTACATTCTGTTACTTGATAAGTTTGGTGGTTTTAGAAAAACTTGACATGCGACTTATGGATGTCATCACTGCGTATCTATATGGAGAATTAGATACTGACATATATATGAAAGTCCCAGAACGACTTAAGTTGCCTGAAACAACAAACAAACCACAAGGTATGCTCTCAATCAAATTAAGGTAATCATTATATGAGCTGAAGCAATCTGGACGAATATGGTATAATCGTCTCAATGAGTATTTGATCAAAGAAGGATATAGTAACAATGTCATCTGCCCTTGTGTGTTCATTAAGAAATCAAATTCTTGATTTGCTATAGTGGCAGTATATGTCGATGATATGAACATAGTTGGAACCCCTGAAGAGCTCAATAAAACTACAAAATATTTTAAAAGTGAATTTGAAATGAAAGACATTGGGAAAACAAAATATTGTCTCGGCCTGCAGATCTAGCATTGTGCTAATGGAATTTTGGTCCATCAATCACTTACATTGAAAAAATCCTGAAGCGATTTGACACGGACAAAGCTTATCCACTCAGCATGCCAATGGTCGTTCGTTCTTTGGACATTAAGACATTAAGAAGATTCATTTTGTCCGAATGAAGATGATGAAATGGTCCTTGGTCTAGAAGTACTATATTTGAGTGCAATAGGTGCTTTATTGTATTTAGCACAATGTACTAGACCAGATATAACTTTTATAGTCAACTTGTTAGCAAGGTATAACTCTGCTCCAACAATTTATCATTGGAAAGGAGTCAAAGATGTTTTACGACACCTTTGTGGGACAACAGACATGGGCCTCTTCTACTCAGAGAAATCCACAAATGACCAGATTCTTGTTGGATATGTAGATGCTGGTTTTCTCTTTGATCCGCACAAAGCCTACTCACAAACTGGATATGTGTTCACTAATGAAGATACAACAATTTCATGATGCTCAACAAAGCAAACATTAGTTGCTACATCTTCCAATCACTCATAAATACTTGCTTTACATGAAGCAAGTCGTGAATGTTCTTGGTTAAGATCAATGATCCATCATATCTGGAATTTATATGGTCTCCTTTAAAGACAGACACTCCAACTGTCATCCATGAAGATAATGCAGCCTGTGTTGCCCAAATGAAGGAAGGATTCATCAAGGGCGATAAGACTAAACACATATCTCCAAAAATTTTCAATGCACGAGCTTCAGAAGGCTAAAGTTATTGAAGTCAAACAAATTTGTTCCAATGAAAATATGTCAAACCTGTTCACCAAATCTCTACCGAAGTGCACATTCCATAAGCTAGTGCAGGGTATCGGATTACGTCGGCTTACCAATGAGCTAAATTTGAAGAATGCGAAATCAAGGGGAGATACAATTCAGGAGGAGCTTCCATAATACATGTCTGTTGTACTCTTTTTCCTTCGACTAAGATTTTTTCCACTAGGTTTTTCCTATTAAGGTTTAAATGAGGCAACATAAGCATGCTTAACACTATATCAACAATACAGGTAAACTTGTACTCTTTTTCCTTCACTATGGTTTTTTCCCACTGAGTTTTTCCAAACAAGGTTTTAACGAGGCAACTAATGTTGATTTGTGAGCATCCAAGGAGGAGTGTTGTAAACAGTGGAAATGTATGCCCACATGCCAACATTAACTTTCTCACATGCCTAATAGTGTTGTTTATGTTTCATTCACTGTAAACCTACGAATGTGGCTTTATAAATAAAGCACTTTGCAGGTGATTAAGGTATAGCAACTGAAAATGAGAAAATCACTGAAAGCAATAATATCAGTTTCCCTCCTCTCCTCTTTTATCTGCAATCATTTGTGTTATAGTTACAAAACAAAAACAGTGTGATATTTCGCACTCGCTTCGTTTCTGTCCTTAGCAAAGGTTATTTCTCTAAGTTTTGTCTATTTATAACATAATCATAATTTTTTTTCTTCACAAATGTCAATTTCACCCCAACTCCAGGAATAAAGCACGCAATCCAAATGCCAACCAGAAGTGCTCGGATACAACCACGACAGCCCAAAACCGCCCACAATGTACAACGTTGTCGAACACCCATATTCATTTCATACCTGGTAAATAGTCATCATAGGAGTTGCCAGTCATCTTCTTGTGCACTTCCATCTGCATCGCTCATGGGCAGAACAGAAAATGGATCATCGTTTTCTACTGCACCACTATCACCCAACGCATCACTGTGGTTAACCGGCCTGGGAAAACTATGTGTCTGAGTCACAGTAAACAGTGGAGCACCATTTGATTCATCTGCCAGCTTGGAGGCTCGAAAACAAAAATCATTAAAATCATCTGCCAGCAATGAAACAATACTAAGTACATCAACTTCACTACAAGTACATAAACCAAGGTTTGCAAAAATATGAATTCAGAGCAAACCTCTGTCACGACAATAAAATCCAATCGCCAAGGATGGATCAATCAAATCAAGGGGAATGTGCCGTATAACACTGCAAATTACCAGTAGTTAGTATTAAACACACAATTCAATGAAGACAATTAGTCTGAAAGAATCTTACTTGC